TTGCTGTTATTGATTTAGAAAATTGGTAAGTGAAGGTCGGATACAGGACTGCAAATAATTGGTTAAATTTCAAAATTGTTGTTGTTTTTTATTTTTTGTTTTATTTTTGAGTTGTTTCTCAGCTAATAAGCATGAACTAACAGTGTTATATTTATTCAATTGTGTACAATATAAGTTTGTAAGTTCCTATAGTATTCTTTGTACTGTTTGACAGATTGTGTAATGCTCCATCCGCTTGTGGATATTTAGCTTGATGTTATCACTTTTGCGTGTAGTATTCTAGACTAGACTTGCAAACCAATGTTAGTACCGGTAATATAAATTTTAGCAATCTGCCACAGATGTAAAATACTGGCATGTTGCATATGTGTTATCACTCAAACCACAATACTACTCAATCTATCCTGGTATTTTTCAGCTGGATTATCAAGTGGGGATTTATCTGCTTTACCAGTCGAATCAATTGCGTTATAACTCCGTCTGCTTTCTTCTGATGACACCCAGCAGAATTAAGGTAATGATAAAGTCAATATTTTCAACCTTTTCCAAATCTAGTACTTGGATGTGGAATATTTTATAGCGGTGCTATGCTGAGCTAGTATATTGTGATTGCTATCTTGAACGCATGCCAGGTTGGCCGATTGTTTTTTAACATCAACAAAGCATTTATTAAAGAATGATTGAAAGATTCTATATCAGTGGTTCCCAAAGGGTGTGCGGCAGCGAGTCGCTAAGTGTGCCACGGAAAATAATGAGATTTTGTTTAAACATAACCAAAATATGATCAAATATTTTACCAGTGATTCAAGAGTCATGCTGCACACTAACACAAATATATTTCTGTAACGTTTGGTCTGACCAAGGTTCCGAGACTTCTTCAGACATATATAGTTCAACTATAACAAGAAAAGCAGTTACATCCATATTTAAACAATCAGTGTGAAACAATGGGAGTTACATATATTAAATAATCAATAAAATTGGCTAATTCATAAATAAATAACAGCGGGTGACTGAAATGTAAGTTCATTGATAAGATTTATGTTTAACAATTGAAGTCCAAATAAAAACAAGGGTGTTTGTGGGACCTCCAGAAGTATGCGCACCAAGATGGCACACAACCTGAACATAGTATGTGTGTACCGGTTAGGATTCAGGTTGTGCGACATCTTGGTGTGCATACTTCTGGGCACCGTTTAGTGTTTCCCAGCATTGGATGATGCAGACCAGAGAAGTCATCTGTGTGTCAATTATAATTCAGTGATTTTTGTTTGGTAATGGCCGTAAGCTAAAAGCACTGAAACAGTGACTGATGTTTTCGCATTTCTATTTTTCACAGGATGGATTGAATGAAACACAGATATTAGCTGCTGGAGCTGGAAATATTGCTGCACTTATGACACCGAGAATATTTGATCAATTATATGCGCAACAGAGAAATGCATTGAGACTTGCAGTCTATGGAGAAGATGCTGGTATGGTGATCTCATTCTGTTCCACGAATATAAATCCTCTCTTCAATGTTGTCTGTTATGGTTTTTATAGTGTTATAACAATGCTAAGAGTTCTAGGGAAGTCAATTTTAAAATGGGAGTTTCTACTTTTCCGCAATAAAGTTTTCTCATTTAATAAGTGCAATACTTCTTTTGGATGATCTCTATTTATGTTTGTTTGAGTATTTTTAAAAGATATGTTAAATTGTGAAACACATTGAGTCTTGTATTACTCCCTTTTTTTATTACATATCGATCTTAAGATCGGTAAGTATGTTGATAATTATTTGTCTGTCTGTTAGATACACGCGATATCTTTGCATTTGCATTCATATCTCGGATCAGAAGCCTATTGATTTTGGATTAATTAGTGATGGACACAAGGTGTCACTATGGAGTAAGAGCGGATGAATCTGCAGTTTCTGTTTTGGGGATCCCCTAACTTTCGATCGATAAGTCTTCGGTCTCCGTCTGATGTTCTCGTTTATTTACTTTTGAGCTTACTTTGATCAATCCATCGAGTGTTATAGGCTAAAAGGTGATATATATATTGCACGCACCATAGTTTAGATGAAATTGAACAAATATATTGAAATGTCAAGTTTTCGAGAACCTGATTCTGTTGTGATAAAGCCTGGAACTCAGTATCGCCTTCTAATTTCAGGACATAATCACTAGATAAACTGAATTTTTGCCTTAACAGAATTGGAAGATATTCCCATCACTGAAGATTTGGAACAAGAGGAAGGAGTTCAGGAGATTGAGATATTTGGTGATGGTATGTAAATACGATTAGCTCCATTTTAACAAGTAGGACGATGTGAATAACAGAGATGCATTCTACGGTAAATAGCAGCTGATTACAACATATAATCATTTCAACCCGTTTGAATGCTGTTATACTCTTTTAAAAAAATTTAATATATTTTTGAATTGTCAAATCCAGATTCCGGTGAAGCAGACATTATTCAAGTTGAAAGTACACAACTCAATCAACTACGACAGCTCATGCTTCAATCATAAACATCAATGAAAGTTGCTTTTGATGGCACTTTTTATGTGTTTGGTTGTATGAGTTTAAATGTTGGTTATATATGTGTAGTGCTCTGGCAATAAAATATAATAATTCTTTACAGTTTCTTAGATTCACAGTTACACAAGCCAGTAGTATCAGTTGGCGAAGCAAACTGCAAAGCCCCCGCCACTAATGTAAAAAATGTGAGATTTGAGAAAACACCCACGCCATGTTTTCAAACAACAAATTTGTAATTATCTAGTTGGAGTTGAATTTCCGGTGCAATCTGCATTCCAAACCCTCGGGGGATAATTACTAATTTGTACAAAAGATCCTTAAGATAAACTCTCAAAGAAAGTGTAATGCTGAGCAAGGTATGGAAAACAATTAGATGATAGGAAAGACAATTAGGAAACGCCGGTTGGCGGTGTATTTACAAGGGAGTCAAAAATCAAACCTTCATGTGTATTTATTCTATTGGAAGTCTAAAAATCAACGTGAGTTATGATGTGCATGCCGTTCAATAAGTTGAGTGGAGGTCGTATCGAAATTGAAAAGGAGTGGTCGATAACTAGACACTTGTGACGATTCCATAACCAAAGTTCAAAGCGAACAAAACTTCATTCTTCCTCCTCACGTTGCAATTAGATATGTTATATCTCAGACCCTTCCCATCAAAAGACTTGATGGACCTATGATTTTGCTATACAGTCACTTGCGGAGTTGTTTAATTAAAAATAATGATATATACATGTGGACAGGTCACCGATATGTGGGGATTGCATATCCGTAAATAAACATTTACGTATTTATTATCATTTTTGAACGAGGCGAACCGGGGATCGGAAAGGTACTACCGCAGGGAGCGAAACAGCTGGGGCAAAGTCTGTAAACCAAACGATCCGGCACGAGTGTTATACTAATTATACCTCGCGTAAAGCCGAAGTGACACATTCAATACATTGCTCGTTGCGGGACAGCAACATCGCAACAGGAAATGAGATATTTGCTAGCCCGGCGGAGATGACTGGTATTCGCGTCAGGTCATGAAGACTATTTCCGATGATTCAGCCGCCTCGTCGTTGACTGAAAGCACAAGCACCATAATTCCACATTTGTCAAGTAGTTAATAAACAATCCTTTATCACTAAACGAACGACTAGACAACTGCATCCACCTAATTGGCTCTACAAAGTTACGCACAATCACACGAGCAGTCTTACAACTAATTGATAGATTCTTCGATCCCGAGCCTCAATATCCATAAATTATTTATGGCGAGCGACTGAAACCGCTCCAAACCAGACTAAAAGAACAGTCTCTTAGCACAGACTGTGCAAAAAAGCGACCCTTGTCGGCAAAAATGTGTGTTCATTAAAAAAAAAAATTATTTAAGCGGCCTAGACCGATAATATAACAATTGGCACAATAAGAACACGTATAATTTAAATTCCCGAACAGCGATTGGCACAGTGAATAAATTAGTGTTAAATACAGAATAGAAGCGCACCTTGAACCCAATTTGATGAAAAACGGAAATAATGAAAAATAAAAATGTGAAGAGAATTCTAAAGCTGCATATATGCGAAAAAGGTAAAAAAGAAATTCAAAGGACGGTGGACTGAACCGAATGATCAAAATCTCAACTGAAACCTGCCTGGCAAATCTTCAACTCAAAAAAGAACATAAACAACACAAGAGCCCGGTTGTGATTGACTCTGGGTACAAAGAAACCGTTTAATAATGATTAACACAGGTCGTAGCAAACGAGAATAAAGAAATGGGTATAACAACAAAACAAGAAAATAACAATAATATTAATAGAAAATAACAGATATTGGAACGTTTTGACGCTTTGATGAAGAAATCAAAAAGATCGCCGGCAGTAAGTTCAAAGTAAATAAGGCTAGATGATAATAATGCAATATTCGGAAGTATAAACAAGCAGTCTTTCCTAGCACAGTCTAATATCGAGGACTTGAAGAGAAACAAAATTTAAAACAAAAATCAGGCATCCATAACTGAATATTGAAGTAATTTGGTCACAATGGCATTTGTAGGCAGTATTTTTTAATTTCAAGGCATAGGTGTTGCTGTCTTCAATGCAATGTTTGGGGTTCGATAGTATCCCAAGTCTTGGTATTTTATAGAGTTCATCACATAATGGGGAAAAAAATATTAAACATGTAAACAAGGGTATATCATTGAATAATATAATTCCATGTTGATAAAATAATATGCCAATTTTAATATGTAAAATCCAACATACACCATAAGTTCGTAAATCAAATTGAATTCCAAACAAACTAAATTCATGGACAAGATTATCAGAGTTCACTCAAATTACAATAAAAGCTTAGTCTCAATTGATGGACACAGCAACGCCTAATCCCTGAAAATTTCATCACAGTAATAAAGGAACATATTAATCAATCGTTTGCAGCATCGAAAAGTTTGAAGACAAACAGGAAATTACATTTTTATATAAGAGGAGCGTGTTGAGTAACGAATATGCAAAGGCATTTAGTATTCATTTTAGATAATTGTGTATGTCACTCACACTTGGACATGCATGAGACACAATGAAGGATCGTAACACTGAGACATGGCCAATCTGTGGGCCATCAAAAAATAATTCTCCAAAAAATTGTGTATCCTCAATAAGCCACAGAATGTGACCGAGATATGCCAAAACCGAAATCAGAAAAAAAAGATGAAATAAATAATTGCAAGTCCCATAACAAAAAAGTGGCAAGATTGGAGTATTGGGTATGTAAGACTGCAGTCATATTGCACTAAGATTTGGAATTGGTAATATTGCGTAGTGTGTATCTAATATCTATTGCTGTTGTAAATATCATGTCATGGCATATGCTAGGCAGGAAAAGAGTTTGTGTATACAAGAGGAAATATCCACAGTGCGTAGGTGTGATTTAGTAACACACTACAAATAATTACATCTGCTTACATGTTCACAAATGAAAAATGGTTTTAGATGGAGAATGAAGTAGTTATCTGACACTGATTAAATGACCCGAATTCGATTATTGCATGTACAAACATCCGTCACATAGAACAAAACTAAAGACAAAAAGAAGCGAAACACAATGAATAGTAAATAAACTAAAATTTATACAATAGAACATACATACAACAAAAAGAATGCTTGTAGCAATGTAATTATAATTTCTGTAGGCATACCTACCATGGACTACGTTTAATCTCTTCATGAGCGATAGAATCAATAATGCAAAATAATTAAAACTGTAAGTCTAGTAAAATGGTGTAGGAAATGTTTGAAATGCAGTTGTAGAATACGCAAATCTCCTTTTAAAATCTACCAATGCCAAGGCCACACAAATTGCCAGTATACAGGCATAGTTGAAGCACACCTTTGAAAGGCTACCCTTCAACGACTTATGCTTGGCTGGATACAATTTAGGACCAAGGTCTAGTAAAAGGATACGAAAGTGAATCTTGGCTAAGAAGTTTCGGACGTAAAAATTGAGCTAAAAGCAGAAACCCACATTCATGTGTCTTTAATAATTAATAAGAAATCAATTATTGAGTGTGACGTCACAAAAAATTTGGCAGTCTGTCGCACAATGAGACAGTTGGTATTCAATATCCCAATAAATCTGCTTCACATAAAACAAAATCATGCACAATATATCCAAACATAAATATTTGCTTCATCAGAAAAGAATACATTAATATCAGAATCATAGACTGACAGAGAACAATACAATAGCTAACGAAATATTGATATAAGTTATTTGTGAACTTGGGGACTAAAATATTTGCAAATGGTCTTTTGCCATACATAACAATATTGCTGCCCAACAGATCTGTTCTTACTAAGAAATTCTTGAGTAGATCTTTACGCAACAATATTTCATTGAATGGCTTTCCTTAGTTTGATTTACCAGGTTTCTAGTGCGCTAGGAAACAAAGCTCGTAACTGATTGAATCATTACACAAAAAAATTAGACTATTTTCAACACACACCCACCACCAAAGGAAACCGCCAAAGAATTGTAACCTGGTGGTCTGTACTTGAACATGGACATATTTTATTTATTTACTATATTAGTATTTGAAATGATTTAATTTAGACTCCATAAAACCTTTTTTAAATTTTCTAATTTTCCCAAAAACAAGAGGGACGCACATTTCAAATGAAATAAAAATGGATATACAGGGTTTTCATAAAGACTTACTAACAAGTTTATTGTAAGCAGGTAATTTTGAAATTGTAACAGGGCTTTAGCAATAACCTTTACACCATTTTTTCTTTAATTATGGACAGTACATTTGGTAAAAATAAACACCCACCACGGCAAAATAACCCACCATTTTTCAAAATATGTTAACCCAAATGATGCAATATTTCCCGTAATAAAAGGTCTAACAGAAATATAACGACACAAAGCCTTTGGGAATATGATACCTACATAAATACTAATGCATTTCGCAACATTTACTTTACATTATGTACGGGTTATTAAAGAAACAAAATTGGAACTTGAAAGAAATATATCATCAGCGCTTCATGTTTGACTTTCCATTTACTTACTCTCAATGTGTAAATTTTACATTTGGTCGATTAGTCTTGAAAGATACCTAGAAAATTAATTTATTTATTTAAATCATTTGTAAAAATCTTCGACTATATTGAGTGTTTATTTAAAATCCTGGAATACTAATATAAGACAATTATGATTGCTCTAATTTAAAGAAACACTAAATGCAGTAGCACACAAAAGCCATATCATGTTGGAATATCATCTGGTGTGGCAGCTTCAACATCAAACCTGTTACTTAAATTGCAGACCAATAAACTTTTTAACGATTTGAACTAATTATACTAAAAATCTTAAGTGCAGTGAAATCTGAAAACCTGATAGGTGGAACAAATCAGAGAACAACTCTTAAGCATTTTCTCATTTTTCTTCTTCTCAAATATGACCCAGTTTGTGATATTCGAAAACATTTGTGGAAGCATAAAACAAGGACTGATTAAATAAAATCTTTAGTTCAGCTGGGCAGATATGTATTGGCTCTCAAAAACAACTAAGGTAAAAAAGTTAGCCATAGAAGGAAGTAAATGAGAGTTGCTAAAGAAAACGTAAAATAGGCCTCCTCTTTTTATTACGGTAAGTTAAAAATGTGGATTATCAAATTTTATGGAAATATTGCAATGCAAGATGTATCACCATCTTTTTCAGATACCCCCAAACTTGCCAAAATTTCACACAAGACAAAAAGAGATGCATTCAACTAAGTTAAATGAGAAGTGTGACAACCTCAGTACAAAACAACTCACCTGTAATACTCTATCCCCAAGTTTATATCCATTTAATGTACATACAGCCATCAATGCTTCATCATAATTTGTCATAGTAACAAATCCATAACCTTTACATTTTTGAGTCTGAAAGTCTCGAATTACCTAATTAAAAACACAATCTGTTTTGGCAAATAGTCACCGATTATATATACACATTACATAGTAAACTGGTTGCATTAATATAGAACACATAAGTATGGCCTCAAGTCTTGTTCAACTTGGTAGCTTCTCAAAATTGATAACTAAAATTGTTTTATTATTGCCGCAGTCTCGAGGATATTAGCTAAAATAAGGCACGATCGTGGAATCATGCAAGGAGATTTTGCTGTTCCTATTTATCTGTATAATACCATCTCGTTCAAGCATCCTTGCGGCAACTGACACATACGGATGCAAGGTAGGTAGTAAACAAGGAGAAAGGACTTGCAGTTCAGTACACAATGAACTTTTACAAGACCCTTGACCCCAGAGCAGAGTGTTGCCGCTTATAAACTGGTTTGGAAGTTTGAAACTTTCGAATAATTCGACCAAGTGCCGCTTACAGGTTGGTACCGATATGTTATTTTAGGCTGGTCTATCACAGCATTGATGAGACTAATTTTGATAACTGCGACTAAGTAAAGCATAATGAAGACATAATGACAAGTTTTTCAATTTATAACTACATTTTGGAAACAAATGAAAACTGACAACACTCAAATCTACGAAAACGAGGCAATGTTCACAACCGCGATTGAATATCTGTCTGTGTGGTAGTGAAATTGCAATTGTTAAGTCATTGTTGACTCATTGTTGATTGGATATGGTTACAGGAATAAACCAAGGAAATCGATGCTCGGGAAACATTAATAATACCCAGGTATCCTTATTAAATCTCTATCCTTATTTTTTTTCCTAATATTGACCAATATTTATTTATATTTGTTACAAACCTTCACACTGGTTACAGCTCCAAATGGTCCAAACAACTGCCAAAGTAAATTTTCTTCCGTATCGGGAGCAAGATTGTAAACAAATATGCAACAACCGAAAGCAGCAGTTCCTTGTCCAAGAACATTCGAAGAAGAAGCATTGTTCATGCCCATCGTTAATAAGTCAGGAGAAATAGTTGAATACCTATCATGACAGTGTGTTGAGTTACACAAAGAAATTGGCAAAAATATAACAAAAAATTACAAATTAAAATAACATGTGTTAAAAAATGAGAAAACTATAGAAAAATAACAACTATGATAAGGCATGCTAATTTATAAGAAAAGCAGAGAAATATGCACAAAACCCATGAAACACAATTGCACAAGCACCATGCTAACGAATAAAATCATGCAATATGAAAATAAGTCAATTAACACCAATCTGAAATTAACTATACTCTCACTCATTTTAAAGCTTCATCTCCAGATTGCAGATATACAATCCAGTTGCATGCTTATAATAAACAAAAGTATGGTTTTACCTTTCATTATTAATAAGTATTTTGGAAGAAAAAAAGTAAAAAAGATAATTCCTTAATAACTGAAAAGTCTTGTTAAACTAACCATTGGCTGCCATTGGCAGTTGTCCCTGAAACCGCCGTTGTCGAAGTTGAGGGATCGGTTGGTGACGCAGTGGTAGCGGCAGTGATGGGAGCTGTCAATACACCAATTGAAGTGGAGGCTGTTTGCCGTGATACGGGAACAGCAGGTGTTAGTGCAGAAACCGGGAGGGTGGCTGGAGCAATTTCAGGTGCAGTGGCTAATGGGGCAGGTTGTATAGTGGGGAGTGACAAGCCTTGCAAAGTCAAGCCTGTGGAAGGCAGTGCAAGGTGGGTGGTTCCAGGTATAGTCTGTAATCCAGTGAAATTTTGTAAAGCATACTGTTCGGGCAAGGCTGTCTGTGCATAGGCTGGTTGTAATGTCGAGAAAGTTGTACCCGGTGGAAACGCTAGCTCTGCTGATGGCGCCAAAGTCAGAGGTTGTAAAGCTGCAGTTGAACCAGCTGCAATCACTGTGCCTGGCCTTACTTCTGGATACGGACTCGCTCTATTTTAACAAACATATCCAATATTGAAATAAATCCTACCGAATCATTACCAGTAGTGCATTGTAATATGTAAAAATTCAAACTGAAACTTTCAAAATGATATTTCCAAACAGATTAATAAATAGTGCCCAAAATGAATGTGCAGGAGAACTAGTGAACTGTGAATAAATAAGGTTGAAAACTAAAAAACAAATGAATATTGGGAACTTGCTCTTTGGCTTTAACATTACTCACGACATATATGGAAGCACACAACACTTTACAAACAGATCATACACAATGGCACTACATGATGATTTACGCACATATTTACGATACCCGCATTACCTCTTAACCCCCAGGCCCACATTCACATTAGAGAGAAGATCGTTCACCCCAGATCTAAAATCACAAACACCATACGATCCCATATAAGTCAAAATCTTATAAACTACCATTTGAACAATACATCACGAGTGCAAAACCTAAAACTAGCATTGAGATTATATAAAATACTACAAATTGCAGTGGCAAATTGATATTATAGAAAAGGCAAAAATTTAAATGAAAAGAATTGTACATATCTAGATGAAGTAAGGCCATTGATAGAGCATGTCACCATGGCATGTTCCACAAATAGTTTAGAAAAGCAAAGACTAATCTGGTTAGAAGTATTGATTAATAGACACCACCCATTTTACTCTAGAATTATGATATTCATTTTACAAGCACAAACAAGGCTAATTAGTATGAAGTTTTTTCAACATCCGGAAATTTAATGAATAGGATATTTACCTGAAATTGCGAGCCTGGTGATATAGTGGACCAGGTGTTGTTGCAGCCAGTCGTCTCGTGGGAGAAGCAGCGGCTGCATACAGTGTTTGAAAAACCTGTTGATTTTTCTGTGAAGGGTTGTTTGCGAATTTCACAGTGATTGGGTCTTTTGCTCCATGGGGAACAGTCCCATTTAGAGCATTGATCGCTATTTCTGCTTCAGGACGTTTATCGAATCGTACAAAGCCCACGCCTCGAGACATACCTGCATTAAACAAAAGCCTATCAATAATGCATGAGAAGCGTAAAAGCAGAGGCATGCACTTATAGTATTGAAAACATTTTAAATCAAAATTTCTATACTAGATAGATGAAAGTCGATTTTTGAAAATGTAAATGCACAGAAAAAAAATTACATAAAAAAGAACGCATCAATATTCGACGAATAGAATACTTTTTTTTTCATGTTGGTATTTGACCTCTTTGTTTATTTAAAACTTACGCATATCAATATGACTAACCTGTGCAAAAATCTACCAAAATTCTTGATGTTATGATTCTACCATATGGACTGAATATACGCTGTAGATCTTCTTGAGTCATGGACTTTGGTAAACCACTAACATATAGATTAGCATCTTTGATCAATGGAGTACTAGGACGAGCAAATGAAACCTAAATATAGGACATATTCCATGCTATATAAAGCACCAGTGAAACAGAAAAGAAATTCAAGATTCTTGTATATTTATATATGGCATATATATATATATCCATCACATTAATGATAGCAAATTACACAGCAACAAGCAAAAGAATGTATTATTCAAGTATAAAATGTTTACCTTGATAGTTTTTTGCTGCATTCTTAGTCCATTCAAAGATGTTATAGCTTTGTCAGCATCAGCTGCTTTAACAAAATTTACAAAGCCGTATCCTAAACTTGATCCTGTCAGTTTATCTCGAATTAGTTTGCATGATTCCAATTCTCCAATCGAAGAAAACAAATTACGCAAATCTTCCTGGGTCATTGTTTGGGGCAGATAGTTTATGATAAGATTAGTTTTGGACTCGTCATCAGTTGGTGTAGAACTCAAGCTTCCGCCGACATTGACCATATTAGAACTTGACATAACTGAAAACAAATATAAACAATCATGTTCATTCATACAATAAACTTTTGAGATTAAATTTAACAAATGAATATTCTGATGAGTTATGCAGATATATATGAAGCAAATATGGATTTAAGCAAAGCCTTATGCTTTAATTAAATTACAAAATTTATGAAATAAGTCAACAGCGCACAGTTCTAAAACTGGCATTTTAAACTGGCATTTGTATTAAATACCTGATGAGTAAGAAGCTGGCGTTCCCGGACTAGAATTTGAGATGACAGCAGGAGAAGAGCATTGATGGGGCTGTTGTTGAGATTGGGAAAAAACATGGGCTGCAACCTGATGAGTGGCATGCTGAGCATTCATGGTTAACGAATCAACAAGAGGATTCGGTCCATTAATTAAAGTTATGTTGTTCATGTTGAAATCTGTAATGATCAATTCATTAGGGGTAAAAAGATATATTACCAAAAAAATTCATTGTCAGAACCAAACGCTCACAAATGATGTTAATGTAAAACATCAAATAAAAAGACTGACCTGGGACAGCCTTGTATATAGCCTACATAAGCCATATTCATAAACACTGAGTGATGAAATATTTAAGCATTATTAGATATGAAAAATGACATCAGGGTTGGCCTATTATTTCACCAAAAAAAAAAACTGCAATCTGTTCGTTATACAAATTAATATTGATAATTCTGAATGAAAAAATTAGAAAGCTGTACCAACTTTGTAATTTCAAGACTATCTTTATAAAAATTTAAATTAGAACATTAACACTCATTTAATACAAATATATTTTAAAAAAAAATCTATATTTAATATATACAATTGTCAACAGCTACCTAAACTTTGAAGCCTGATTCTTCTGTTAGCACAATAAATCATAAAGAATTTTCCTAATGGTGACTAGCACACTAAAACAAGTTTTGCAATATTTATCAACATTATTAAACTGATTGAGATGAGAATCATACTGAAGGGATCTTGAAGGGAAATTTGACTTGTTCACAGATTGAATTAAACAGACGCAACCTTGGTAAATCTAGGCATTTGTGCTAATGCAAATAATGACCTAATACAGCTTGTATAAGCTAAAATTATAAGTGCTCACAGTTATAAGTATAATTTTGTACTGTCTGTATCCTAATAAAAGACATGCCAATAAATCAAACATTTCTGTATATTTGTGAATTATAGCAGAGATTCAGTAAATTAGTAAGTATGGTAAGTAAATTCATTATATCAAAAAAATTTCTCATGATTAAACACTGAATACTGTATTGCACCATTAATTTTAAACTAATACAGCCCGTCAGAAAAATGACCGGGTATCTTAGTAACTGGTATAAATACAGCAAGCAATATTTGCCAAATATCGATAATATAAAAAGAGTTCAGATACCTAGCATATGGTTCTATTACGAATTTACGACACTCATCATTAGTTAACAGCGGATATATGGATCTAATTTCCAGAATAGCACAAGTCATATTGTATCCCGATTCCGAACTATCATATTTTAGAAAGCCCCAATGTTGCATAGATTACATTGTGGCACAATGTTTGAATCTCATAATCTCATTTGGAAAAACTCCCAAAAAGTGGATTCATATTGATTCGAGTCTTCGATGAGAAAATAGCAACAGTTGACCAACGTAAGCTCAATTAAAATGTGATAACGCATCCAACCACCTCGGCTATTATGTATAGCGTCTAGTGTACATACAGTGTGCCCTAGAATACACTGTCTTGCAATGCAAGTAATGATCAATAAGCCAAATTAAGAAAAAGTAGAAACATAACTATTTTTCAAACCAACTTTGATTACAACTCTCTGTCAAGCAATCGGGAGTTTCTCGCCGGAGCTCTGACGCTGTCTTTTCGCTCTTTCCCTTATCATTGACAGTTATGTGATTACCTAATACTGTAATAGCAATACCTATGCAGCAGACTGTCCATGAGCCTTGGGTCAAGCGCAAACTTATCTGATAAGATTAGAGAAGTCTATGACTTCAAATTCAGCCAAGAACTGAAGAAACTAACTTACTGCAGTACTGGTATGGTAGACTACTGCTTTAAATCTCAAGTTCAGTAAATTGAAGATCTGGTTCAATTCTTACCGATCTGGGCTATAAAGTAAGATAATACAGTAATAATACATTACCAAATGATGAACTTGGCATAAACTCATAATCTTGTAATCAGTCAACAACCCCAATTTCTGAATTTAAATCTTTGCAGCATTACCGTAGCAGATTAGAAAAGTAGCATTATATCATTACCGGTATATTATTAACACAGTACTGCAGTAACAAATTGACTGGATTAATCCAATCTCTCAAACAGCCATAATCAACATGACAAGGCTAGGCACAACTGCACAATGGAGTGGTTATGCGGAGGACGGATTACTGGTAAAATGTGGGAATAATCACTTCCGATCGGAAGTGACTCGGCGTCGGTATTCGTTTTAGGCCTATAACATGATAACTGCAGGAGCTGACCATTGAATGAGTAAAAACATACGACAGTACCATACGGTACTGCCGCAGTAAATAGTCTATGTAAACTCGCAAATGTCTGAATGTCAAAATCCATGCCATACAGCTGTACGATAAGGAGATGTGATGATACTGGTACCGGTACACGCGCAGGAAACTCTTTGGTTTCAGACTGCGATAAAATTGTAAATTGAGGTTTAAAAGAGAAATTAAACTCACCAAATATTTAAACACAAAAAGATGCATCCAGTCCGTACGCGCGATCGTCATCCACTGCGAACAAAATTCAAATAACACCGACAAACTTGAAACAAGAAGGCTCCGAAAAAACAAACTGCCCCAGAAACGCCCACAAAACTAGTCCAGCGACGGAATGGCAGGCATGCATCGTTATTTTATGCAGGAAATGGAACTGCTTCCAGTGTATATGCACAAATATATCATGCCTTCAATTGATATTATTTATTTCAAAGATATCATGAAATTTACTGCTTATGTGACTCAACAATTATAATGAAATCGATATTGCGTAAAACATGTGATGATATATTTTATTGGTAAGTTTAAAAATACTGCGGATGAATATTTATTCAAAATGCATGCGTGCATAATGATATGCATGAAAGATCATAGTTAAGATCTCGAAGTATCCATTCACTAAAACAGGTTTTCTCCACAAATTTGTGCTTCATAATAAATTATGCAACTAACTTAATTTAAAATATCAAAAAGGAATGTGATCATTTTTCAAAATCCAATTGAATTAGCTGTTGTATTTACGATTGCATCAGTAATACATTCCAGTTATTTGTTTCCGTCATGCAAGAACCAAGATAGAAAATGATACACATGAAATGAATAAAAACAGAAAACGACCCTTCCTGGGATCACCCTTTCTAACCCTCCATACTATTTGCATGTGATTCGGAAAACTCCAAGAATTTGATTCATGTAGATCCCAGTCTACGCTAAGACAATATCACCAGGCGAACGATGTATCCGCAATAATTAAAATCAAAATCAAAAACTGGTGGAAAAAATGTTTATTCCTTATCATTAAAACAAGCCAACGTATTGGAAGTAATTTAACATGAAAGAGATATGGTAGGAATAATTCATATATATAATAGGATTTCACATCTATGGATGTTTCCCCCGAGTATCGATTTCCTTGTTGGACACGTGTACGTGCGTAGCATTACATAAATACCTGTTTTATGAAAAACTCAAAACCGCCAAAAATGACTTACGCAATTCGGTTATTAGCGTGACGATATAAGTTGATAAATACTTTAATAAACCCCGAATACAAAATAGGTTGAAAATACTTTGGGTTGTTATGACAAACCTTGGGGTTTTAAGTTATTGCGTGCGCAACACCTCATTCTTAATCTTATAATAAATTGTAGATCAGTTTTACGAACAGGTTGAATGTAGGAAATAAGTGACACAACAATGACTATTTCCACGCTACATATTGGTTTATAAGGTTACACCACAATGTTCATTTTCTTTAACCCTTCACATAATTCCCTTCTCTATTGTGAAGTTCTAATTGCGCTTCTAATTTCAACCGTGAAATGGGGTGAAAAGGGAGCTTGCACAATAGGGTTCGGGGTTTGGCAGACTTGCAATAGTTAAGAACCATTGCTCTCGGTTAAATGCATACTTTATCACGTAAAAATGCTTTTTCGAAAATACTTCAGCTGACAAACTTGTTTCAATCATATTTATTAGCGTTGTATTGATTTCATGTCGCCTGAATTAAAAAGGAATTCAAAACATTATTAAGAAGATATCTTTTGTTGGTGCTTATGTCTGTACGTGGAAATTGGATTAAAGCGGCAAGTGATATAAGCATAGGTGATATATTTCAAAATCGGAAGAGGTGATATTGATATTCTACAAACTAATGAGTCAATAATGGCTCATGGCTGTGAGGTTCTAATTTTTTTTTTTTTTTTTGGAATGTTCAAATTTTCAATAATACCCCGACGATTTGAATGTACAGAACATCTGTCCCTAACCCTAAGTTAGTAATAATTTTGACTCCGACAAAATCTCGACTTGAATTCGTTTGAGCGTGATTCTTTATCAGTCAAAAAGTTTGGCTGCATCTTCGACAACAAAGTTCGACGACATAAATGTTAATTTTTTTTCGGAATGTTCAATAGTGCAATAAAATTAAACTACCGATAAGAAACTTGGTTTGAACAAAACCTTTTCCATTTAAAATTCATGTTTTGTAGAATTTAGATGAAGTCATGTTTCATGTAAAATTTATCGTTGGTTTTTATATCATGATTTATAACATTTTGGAGAAAAGTTAAACATGGTTATATTTTTATGCCAGATGAACAGTTTATTCGGATTTAAATTGCTATCGAACAGAATATTATAAGATCGTACTAATCACATTCTAGTGTAAACTATTTATAATATAAATTTCAAATACTGTTCAAAATATAAAATCAGAAAAACAAAAGATCTTCAAGTATATTTGTCCGACCCGTAATCAGAAAGGAATCGACACGATATTTATTGGATTCTGCGTGATGGGACAGTTTCCGGATAAATATAATCTGGATCAGTAAAATCACCATCGACATATGTAACTTCGTATACAACCTCATGGCGAGAAAGGCTCGTGTGCGACATTGGTTCCAGATATCCATTAGGTGGAGTGTCAACTGGAGCAGTAAATTCTGGTTCTGTAATAAAACCATTATTTTCATATCCATCGTTGACATTGCCTTCTTGACGATTTTCTCTTGAGTACATCGCTGTAAGATATTTATTGATTTGTGACCCCATTTTAGCTTCAGACGATGGTCTGCGATAATCATCCTTATGATCGCCAGATGGTTCGGTTTGTTGTATTATTCCCCGGGAAATGCCTATCTCTTCGTACACCGGGGGAGGTGTGGGTAACGGACGTTTCCGATAATGCACTGGAATGCTTTCTTCTCGATGTTGAAGTCTAGAAACGAATATAATCTTACATTTATTATTATTAATTTATTCGCTCCCGACAAAGCTATGAAAAGCATCCTATTCAAGCAAGACGTTTTACTGTGTTAGTTGCTGTCACTATGACGCCATATATATTATTTGTTCATGTTTGATTAATTAATATTTGACATCGAGACCTACGTTACTGATAGCAACTGCTAGTAAGTATAGAGTTAATAAGTTTGGAATGACCGGAATGTTTTTTACAGAATAAGCTACTCATTCTTTTAATTGGTTGGTATTTACCTATACTGCAGGGCTGTGGATTCGAATCCAATCCGAACGAAAATCTATTACCTGCTAATATAGCAAGACATTATACGTGTTTAGTTTTTGTTAACGTCGTTATATTATATAACATAATATGTGGTTGCTCGTTTTTTTACTCATTAGTGACTTATTTTATTATGTAGTCGTTGTTTTGATCAAATATTTAAAAATACATTAAAAACCATCGTCTTTTGGTGACTGCACAACCTGATGGAGAACGCAAAAAGTGAATTCACCTTCTTTTCCTATAGATCCAGACTCCAATTACTCCTGCTATCACTATAACTGCTACTATGCTTCCAGAGACTATTGCAATTGTCATAAGAGAGATAGAAACAAGTTTAGCTTTCAATTCAGTAGACTCAGCATTCTGCTGTTGAGTTGACGCAGAAATCGTAGACACTTGAATACTTGCTTGTGGAAGCATAGCAGAAGTTGAACCAAGTGATTGTTGAGGAGTAGTTTTCACGGAAGAAGAAGATTCTGATTGATCGCTGGTGTTTTCACCTTTATTGGTAGTTGGTGCAGAAGTTCTTGGTGATTGGTGTACTGTTTGCAACGACGTGGTACTCCGAGATGATGAATCTTCTGACTGGTCAGTGTGGTTTTTATGTTTGTTTTCCTGTGTGATTGATGAAGTAATTACTGGTGATTGGCTGGTTTTACCCGGGGATGTAGTGGTTGGAGAGGTACGACTACTCTTTCCTGGAATGGAAGATGAGAGCGTAAGTTTAAGTCTTATGATCCGTACATTACACTTTTACTTGACATGAGACGTGAGCAGTCTAGATTCTGTAATATTAACGTAAATTCAATCGGCGCACGTGATCATATATACTTATGGGACTTATACCTGTGAATGATCACTGAGTGTGTTATAAATTCGCATTGAGCGTGTTATTATTTAGCTAAATTGGAAAGTAGTTTTACCTGTTTTACAGTCAATGTATTCATAGGACAGTTTGAATTGTAATTTGAAAGGTTGGCATTCAAATATGACCATTGAACCATTTACATTGGACAACCAGTTTCTAGTTTCGCATTTAAGCTTCTTTGTTTCGTTCAAGCAGATATCGAAGGTATAACCGATCCAACATGTTTGATCAGAGTCTGGGTTGAAGCCATACCAGGAAAAACCAGGTACTGTATAATATAGAAAAAGGATTTATTTTCTCTCTTCAATGAATGTTATACGCTTAAATTAAAAAGGGGGTTTTTATGTGTGATTTCCATACTGGTCGTTGATTACAATTATACATACGAAGTTTGTTTATGGTTTTATGTTGTTAGATACATCTGCTTGTTGTCTAGTACAGCCTTGTCCAACTCAAATGCTTTCTGAGGCCGCAAATCATATTTTATTTTTGTCGCGAACCTCACATTAAATAACTTGTCATAAATTGAAGTTTAATTTGACGAATTTGTACGGCGTTTTTTTCCGTATTTTCATTGTGCGCGAACTCGGAATGTATTTTCAAATTATAAGACTTAAAAACTGCCGTCCTCTCTTGTCGTCGCTTATTCATAATATGCTTTGGTTGCGTGCTTTGATATAATATACCATCACGATAGTACCATACACAAGAATAGTGCTTATCTGGGCTACACTTAGGTTTGCTCTGGAAAATTTTATTGGAAACGGCTGGTTGAGGATCGTCTGTAAATCTTCCAGCGGACCGCACGAATTCGTCCGACGGGCCGCAGTTTGGACACCGCTGGTCTATTGGCCTCTATCGAGATCAGTCGTCAGAGTCAGGTCGCATTTGAATCTTCAAAATTCGGACTTGAGTTTTACTATGACTCAACTTTGGGCCCGAGATAAAAGATTGTCGGCCGTGACAAAAGGCCGCAAAATTTACCTTTGACTCCCAAAGTATAATTTCCAATCAAAAAAGTGAAAAATATAGATAACGAAACGATTTCTTAAAAATCAAACAGAAAAATTTAGTGGCTTCAAAAAAGTTTCTAAATACAACATGTAAGCCATAAATAAATACACTTACATATTCCAGTTCCGGGGAGCAAACTATAAACCCTTATCAGGCCTCTTTCTTTTGGGGTTTGGTTTGACGTAAAAGTCATTTTGAATATAGTCTGCTCGTGAAGGGGAAAATGAAATAGCCAACGACAATAATTCCACCCTCCACATTCACTATCATTCCTCGGTGATTCTATTTCCCCATTGCGATCATAAATGTAATCGGGTGGGTATCTTTCACACGGTTCGGCGTCCAAATACGATATTCCTACAAGTAAGCATACATTGCATTGAATTACTGAGACTATTTTTATGAATTTTGCCCAAAACAAAGTAGTAGTATCCCCGCAATGAAAAGCCTGCCGGGTCTGGCAGTTACCAGATAACGACTAAATTAACCAGAATTATTGAATTAAACAAATTATGAAAATAAATAATGAAACATTACACAGTTATCCTACCTTTCGTAAGAAGTAAAGCTCCTGCCAGGCCAATAATCTTAATTGAATATTGCATGTTTTCCGACACAATTTGTTTATTTTCAAAAACTGTTCATTTAAAAAAAACTGACCCTCCTCGTCGTGTAAATTATTTATTGAATATGACAGACAATGAGATTTCATATTGGACATCATTGTGTGATATAGAAAATATGTAATTAAATGCATTTTGGTCCCCTATTATATATTGGTTTTGATTCATATCACATGGTCCAATATATATATATATATATATATATATATATATAAGTTTAGCCCAACTAAAATGTATAATTTAATTGTTTGACAGTGCAATCAGTGAAAGTTAAACAAATTAATGTAGTGGCGTCAGTTTCTATGAATCATAATCTATTAAATATTTTAAAATATATTAAAATCTAATTTCCTGGTTTTTCAAATTGATTAATTTTTCTCGGGTCAAATTGCTTTTCGCAAACAGTAGATTCTGTATTGCTTTGCCGAAAATAAGTGAATAATAATCTTTACCATATCATTATAATATATATCATGAATTATGTATATAGATTTGAGGTAATTATCTATCATTGACCAGGCCTTCGGGTGAAACCGATATCACTGTAAGTATAACTGCGGTACAGCAATGGGCTCTCATTAACATAGGGTCGTATCTCGCTCGTATTTTCTTGCCGAATGGTAGGTAGCTGTTAAACCTTTTTTTCGTTGTTTTTGGCCACAATACAAACGCGAATATAAGGAAATGTTTGTCCTGGTTGTAAATTGTCTTTTCCGCCACCGGCTACCATTAATTCTGTGCGACTATTAGGCACGTTGTCATTACGTGACCGACTGACGCCAATATACGGTACGTCGAATTTGAAACCCCAAGATGTCAATATGAAAAAAACACAATTTTGACGACGCTGCGACCCCTTTCTTTCTTTTTAAGAAGAAGATTACACGTAATCAGTTCGATTTCGAAAGGGTTATTAATAAAATGACCCCTTGGTTGATCCCTCGTATATATTCCGAATTATAATACCTCGACACGAAATCGTTTTTATCAGGCATGAGCGAATACTTACTCTTGGATGAGCATGTTTCATTTGTACGCGAACCGAAAATTTATATACATTGTCCTGAAGCCTAAAACATATTATCTTTTGTTCGTAGACTATGTTACCAAAAGGGATATATGCAGTGGCGGGATTCAGCCGGTTCGAACCGGTTCTATAAAACCGTCTCGCGGAATTTTATGAGATCAGCGAACCGGTTAGCATTACTAAAAAAAACTTATAACAGAACCGGCCAAATAATATGCCTTCTGTGATGGAACCGGTTGACAAAAAATTTGAATCCCACCACTGGATATATGTCCTACACATGAATGATTTATTATCCAGGTGTTTAGTACAAGTAGGTATTCGAGTTTGTGCGACAGCAAGATCTTTATAGGTGATCAATAATTTTTAACTTGCGTTATTTTATCTGGATATCCGTCGTCGTATTCAAAAACGATTTTGTTACAAGTTACGGGTGATATTTCACCAATATATTATGCTTTTTAAATATATATATTAAATATAACCCAGGATTTTTAACTAGATACGATAGGAACTGAGTTTTATAGTTATATATTAGTAGCAGTAATATTCATTTCATCACCGTGCACGAAAACAAATATTCATTTACATAAGGAAGCAAAAAAAATCGTCAATCACAGGTGAAATGAGTCATAGAAAACTGCACAGGTTTTCGAACTGTCATACCCTGGGATGCATTGCTGTCATTGGCAAGCGGAAATTATTGGTAGGCTATTTGGAAATAATTGTTTTGAGCGATTTTATGTGATTGAAAATAAACACTTAGGCATGTAAGTCCTTTTTGTAATACTTCTTGTAACATGGCTATGGACATTGTCGTATAAAATGGCGCCCATGACAAAGTTTAAAAATGCGCCCCTTTGATCGTTGGTTGACAATTTATATTTAGCTTTTGTTGGTTTGAGATACGTCTACGTTATTATTTGAATAAAAATACAGGTTTCAGTTATTTATAATCAGAAATTATTTTATTAAATCGTTTTACAACTAAAACTTTTCGCACCCCTATCCAATCGGCGTCTATGAAGCCATGGCTGCCACACCCTAGATACGCCACTGGCTATGGATGGTTTAAATCAGTGTTTCCCAAACTTTTTTCTGTCAGCGCCCCCTTGGACGACTTTTAGCTGGCAAATGCCGCTCAGACAAAAAAAAGCAACGCAACTTTATTCTTCACCTATCATTAGCATAATGTGAAGGTTGAGCCTGGTGAAATACCACCAGTTTGATAATATCTTACTTCATTTCGGTCAAAAATAGTCTTGAGTCTCGTCTGACACTGTCGAGGGAATCTCTCTTGATATGTAAGAGTGCACTGCACTAAATACACGCTCTACCAGGAATGAGCTGGCAAAAGAAATAAAAAACTTTTAACCCGATCTCACACGTGAAGATATTTTAATTTGATTCTGTTGCCAAAAAAATAGAACACTAAAAGGTTGAACATGGGTTTGAAAGTATAAACCTAATGGTAGTGGTGCATTTTTGCTTTTGGAGATTCAGGTTATCTAAAAAACAGAAACCAAAAATTTCTTAAATATGTATCTCAAAAAATATCATTCAATTTTATTTGCGCTTGAACTTCTGTTTGCGTACGATTACAGTATACTCAGAAGTTTCGCAAAATTTTCAACCACTCATTTAGTTGTCTGCTGAAGCGGGCCGTCTGCTGTCAGGACATGGAAATGAAAGAGTTCAAACGGTGAATACAAAACATCACATGGTTGTGCCGAAAAAAATCTGGGCAGTGCAGTGGTTCCAGCATGACGAGGCGACCCCTCATACATCATTTCATTTCCTGAGAGAACAGTCAGCAATGACATCCTGTGGGAAATTTAATTATCGGACTAAAACCTCTCAGATTTTAGTATGTTGGGTGTTTGATAGACAATTCGTATCAGGACAATCCTCAAACGATTGGTGAACTCAGGGCTGCAATTGCAGAAATAAAATAGAGAAATACCCAAAGAAGAGTGATTGACAATGTTGCAAAAAGATTGCGATTCTTTCTTCAATATCGAGGAGAGCATTTGGAACATATTCTAGGAATGACGTAATTTTTGTGCAAATTTTTGCGTAGTTTTAATCCTCCCCGTGTAATTATCAGTTTACCGTAATTTGTGTTCAACTGATTTTTTTTACTGGTTGGATAAAAAAAACTCGACTTGACTAACTCAATAATTCTATAGATGTTAAAGTAGACTACATAGTATAGGCGTCAATTACTAAAACAGAATTGATTGGGGATTCGGTAAAAATGACGTAAACTTGAAATCGAATCCGGATACAAATCTCGGATCATCACTAGTTGCCATAGGAATATGACATATGTTAAGCTAACAGAAATTTCAGCCAGAATATTTTGGCACATTGCGAATAGTCTCCACGCGCATTTTAATACGACGAAATATATTTCGAGGAAATTGTGTGATTCGACTGAATTTACCAAACATTCAAGTATTTACCTCCAAGTACGTTGCCATGCGTATTAGTATTTATTTACGGTAAAACTCAACATTTATAACCTTTGGAATAAGTTGTGGAAAATATAATATCACAGAATGTTTTTATGCTGTCTCCTGGAAGATTTTCAAAATGACTAAATTTGGAAATATTATAGTTTTTGAAAAAGTAAGTAGTGAAATCTCCATTAAAGACAACACTGGGAGAAAAGAAGAACACGAATAAATGCAATTTTATTAGGACAAGGCAGTAGGAGCACCTTTTTTTTTACATGGCTATATATAATAGAACAGGATGGGATTTACATATTTATCCCAAGGGAGAGGAAAGTGATAAAACGGCTTAAGCATATTGCGAACCACGGCCTCTCGTCCGATAACCAGTCCATGTCGGTTATGGGATTAGTTAGCCAGTTATTTGATTTCGGATACACATTGCTTGTGAGGGAAACCGTGACCGACCAGCGGCTACGTGGACAACTCCACGACGGCGAGGAGTCCAGCAAATCTCTCGCACGCAATTATCCCTCACGGAATGCGAACCCAGAGGTGCGGTGGCGTATTCTCAACGCTCAGCACGATACGCCACACCGCAGAGTCAAACATAGCGATGATTATATTCGTAAACGATACTCAAAAAGCATAAAATTTTATTATGCACTTTTAAAGTTGTTTTAACGTAATATAGTATCAGAACCATCACTGATTGTTCTAACAAGAAATCAGTGGGGACTGGGGTGACGTTTGTTCTTACGCGTGGGAATTTTATGCTGTTCTGTCAGCTCCAATTTAGCGATTTTCTGCTTGCCTTAGGAAAGTATAGTAAAAATAATAATAAACAATTTATCTTTATTATCGCTTTGCTTGTAGGCTGTTTTTCCGTTGCAACTCATGGGATTTCTGTGTAGGATGATAATCTAGGACCTGAAGAATTACAGAATCATGGGAGACGAGAAAAGGGTGGATTCAGGTGATTGAAATTCCTTCCATACTGCAATACTGATAGAGCAATACAATTTATTGCGGCATTCTGAAAATAACACTCAATGAAACAAACAAGACATTTCTGCATTTACTGATTTAACGGAAATGTCTGGAAAATAAGCTAAACTTGAGAATAGAGTTTATAACGTGTAATGCAATATGTCTACTGAAATATGAAAACCCTATTTTATCCAAAATATAGGCAAGCTAAAGCTATATGCTAATTATATCAATAAAAGGTCTGAACATTGAATCAATTGAAGGTGTCAATCAATAAATCTAACATTTATTTTATTTCTTTATTTAGCATTGGGATCTAATATTACTGTATTAAAAGTTATTTACGTTTCAAAGGCATATATATAGCTCTAGTCAGTAGTAATGGCTTCCCTATTTTCTAGCCGCCACATGGACTGGTAATCGGACAAGATGCCATGGTATGCCATATGAGTGAGCCACCTCATTGGCTTCTTGTCCTTCAAGATAAATACAAAAATTCAATCTCAAAATGGGGTGCTCTCACCCTGCTTTTTAGGAATTTTTTTTTCAATCTCTTTTTTTCAATCTCTGCTTTTTAGGAAGTTCAGATAGTGGTGATGATGCAGTAGTTGGCAATGTCAACAAACTGCTGGTTCAACCGCATGGATATTCAGGAAGAGCAAAAAAGGGGCACTTGATCTTTGATGCTTGCTTTGAAAGCGGTTCGTTCATTTTCAAAAAAAAATTTTGATATACATAGGGCAGTGAATTTTTATATAGGTTTATATTGTCTACAGGTTGGTGAATTGGAATATAGCCGGAAAATACAATATATAGCCTATATTTTCTATAACACGAGGTATATATTTGTATTATGTGATATTCTCTATATTTTCAGGTAATTTGGGAAGAGTCGATTATATAACAGAACATGAATATGATCTATTTGTTCGTCCTGATACATGCAATCCTCGTTTTCGTGTTTGGTTTAATTTTACAGTTGAAAATGTTCGTCCTGATCAGGTGAAGATATTTGTGATCATTATTTTTATGCCAAATGTGTTTTCCCAGAACTTCATTTATGTGGAATTTACTATTGTATAGCTAGCTGTTCGTATTTATCATCATATTGATTTGAACTGCTGTAAGTCTTATTTCAATTAGTATTTGATGGCACACAATGCATCTGGGGAGCCGTAGCCATGGAGCTAAAGCCAAGCTTATAATAAAAATTGAGAAATTAATTGCACCTATTTATAATTTTCCAATTTTTTTTTAATACTCAATTACTAATGTTAATTTGAATGTCTCAAGTTAAATCATGGTTTTGAGTACAACTGCACACTGTATCACTGCATGTTCCAAGGTAGCGGTCATACCCAGAAAAAGGTCAATTGTTTTGTAGTCGGAGCCCTGCTTAGGGGTATAAATGAAGCCCTGGTGCAGGAGCCACAGTTCGAATGCCAAAGCCATTGTGATATAAACCAACAGTCCAGCACCCATCCCCGGTTGCAACGTATGTCATGGTCCTCATGGAGCTTTAATGGAAGTGCTATCTGACACAATGACTGATAATGATAATGTTCAGTGTTTTAATAATGGGTTGCTGTAAAATATTATTTTATTCTTCAGCGAATTATTTTCAACATTGTCAACTTTAGCAAAACAAAGAGTTTGTATAGAGAGGGAATGTCACCAGTGGTCAAATCAACAAGTCGACCCAAATGGTAATTTATTTTTTCTACTGTAAAATTGACATTACAAATGGGCTTCAAGTAAATCGAAGCTGGAGCTACAGTTCCATTTTTATGGCAAGATCTTCTAGGTGCGGTTGCTTAACCTTGTCTATTTGAATGTTTTCAGTGATCACCATGATTAGTTAATGTGACTGACGAACAGTCCATTCATTTCATTTTTTTTTTAAAAGTGTGAATCCCAATTCATTATTATTTAGTTCATATTACAGCCCAGGTCCATATCCATATTCTGTTGATTGGAACAGAAGTAAGTTGTATCATGAGGATTTTTGATGGAAAATATACAGGAAATTCCCTGAGTGTTATTAAAGGGCATTCATGTGTGTATCCAGGATGTTTATTTGGCTCCTTTGTTCAATATTGTTTGGACAGTTTGTGACTTGCGATATTTCAGCAAAAATAGCAATATATATTTATGTACAAATAATAGAACGAACATGCTTATCTTGTTATAATTATTTTACAGGCAAAGAATTCCATCAAAGAATGTTTTTTACTACAGATGCCCGGATCATAGGAAAAACTATGTCATGTCGTTTGCATTCTGCTTTGATAAAGCAGATGATTGCGAAGTTTATCATTTTTCATATTCGTTTCCGTATACATATACACGACTACAGACGTATTTGGATAAATTGGAGCGAAAGTGCCTGCCATTCGTCAAACGAGAGCTCTTGACTTTGACTGTGGTATGTGTTTTCTATCAGTAACATACTGATATGATATCCTGAGATTCAAAAACAATTTAGTAGTAGATGGTCATCTTTATGAAACCTGCTGTTAACCTTATAAAATATTCAAACTAATAATCGATATTTTGCATTGAATATTTTATTTTTTCGGAATTTCTGTGATATTTTTATGCTCCATCTTTTTTTTACAATTGTAAGATTTTGCCATCATGATATTTTTACCTTTTGTAGCAACAAAGACGATTAGATATGATCACTGTCACATCACCAGAAAATATGTCAGATTCAGATGGACAGAAAATTATATTTTTGACTGGGCGAGTCCATCCTGGTGAAACACCAGCTTCACACGTTGTGCAAGGTACCTGATTGCTTTTAGCAGACTTGGTAATGATTTTGTGGTATATTCTATCGTATTATAGTGAATTAGTGTTAATTTTATTCCGGTGACAAAAGCATCACTGGTATAAACTACAGTGTGTCATCCTTGAAGCTGGATATAAATAATAATGTTCATCACATAGATGGTAAATATCAACTTCAATTTTGTATTTGCATGCTCTTTCACATGCTATAAAAAATGTTGTGTTTCAGGTTTTTTAGATTTCGTTATCAGTAATCATCCAATAGCAAAAGTATTAAGAGATCATCTCGTTTTTAAGATTGTACCGATGCTCAATCCTGATGGAGTCTACTTAGGAAATTATAGGTTTGCAAATTTGTTATTTAATGTGGAAGGTATAGAATATAAAACTTATTTACCTATCAAAAAGGAGTTTTATTGCATAACATGGGATTAAAAGAAATTGTGCCCTTTGCACCTTGCTTTGTTCCATGAATATCACAAATTTATGTTTGATATAAAAATGATCTTGTTTTCAGAAAAAGACTTTGCTTTGAATGTGTAATTATGCCGCTAATTATTCATTATGCATATTTATTTTATACATCAATTTATATCTCTGATATTGCTTTGCAAATTTGATTCTAGAATATTTTCTATTACAAAATTAGTGATTCAAATAAAACTGCTTGCATGCAAAAGATCGTAATCGTAAAATGTTAATCATTATGTTGTGGATTAATATTTGATTTTAACTTACAACTACTTACATCGGAAAATGAAATTTGATTTTGACGTCTTTATCTTATCAATTTCTTTACAGGTGTTCATTAATGGGATTTGATTTGAATAGACATTGGCAAGATCCATCACCATGGGCGCATCCTACGTTGCATGCAACAAAACAATATCTAATGAATCTACATTCCAATCCGGTCTGTATAAGTGTATATTTTATGATAGAATATGATGTTTTATGCCACTTAATATCTTTCAATCATAGTTGAATTTGAAATTAACGGTATATACACAACGAAAAGTTATATAAACTCTTTTCATGTATAAATGTATATGTATTTCCCGGCTATGGATATATTTGATTGGTATCTAAGAACTGGTCACTCTGACATAATCATGAGACATTCAGACTCATTACCTTGCAGGTTCCTTAATGGTGTAGGATAACTTCCAAGTTTTGTTGGTGCTTTAAAATTTGAATTTATTCAAATTTCATGCGATGAAAACTACTTTTTAAACAGTGGACTCACAGTGGACCAGCAAAAATTCTAGTATCTTACGCTCTTAAGCCTTTTTTTAATTAATACTGCATGATAGAAACATATGGGGATGTTTATAATCACAGGAGCGGGCGGTCTATAGCCAAATCTGTGAATCTATATTACCTACTAAACTTTTTTTCAAACTAATAATTTGTTTTATTAGAGCTCTGTACTGGATTTCTACATTGATGTTCATGCACATTCAACACTAAGTAATTGTTTCATGTACGGAAATATTTATGATGACGAAGAAAGGTTTCAACGACAAGCTGTATTTCCCAGATTGATGTGTTCAAATGCAGATGATTTTAGTTTTGCAAACACTGCTTTTAATCGTGATGTTGTAAAAGCTGGAACTGGTCGAAGGTAATAATATCTGAAAAACAAGTCATCGTGGCTCAAATTTACCCTTATCTATTATACACACTAAATGGATTGTTCGTTTTTGTTTTGTTTTCTGCTAATTTAGAATAAGTGACTAGTGAAACACTTTAAATGATATTACTCGATCAATTCAAGTTTACTTGAATGTAATGTATTTAGTTTTTGATTTTAAAACTGTCTTTTAAACTAATATCTAGGAAAGAAGAGATAGCTCACCTCAACCTGGTTATTTTTTTTATTTCATTCAGGGTTATACACTGCACTGCAAATAAGGATTTAGTATGTAGGCTCAGGACTATAACAGTGCTAACATTTCACAGTCATTTATACTTTTGACTAATGCTGAGCTTCCTTTCTAGGTTTCTTGGTGGAATACTTGATGAAACATCATACTGTTATACTTTGGAAGTTTCTTTTTATAGTTATTATAATGGATTGTCACCAAATCCCATACCATACACAGAAGAAAGCTGTATCCTTTGAATGTTTACTTGCCAATCTTTATTGTTAAATTAAATTGATTTTTAAGGATTTAGTTGAATTTTTAACCTGCAACTTTTACTCTGACTCTCATTAGTCTTATTATTATTCAAGCTCCAAACATATTGTATTTCTTTCCAATTCCACAACATTTTTCGTAGCATAGTACATATTTTATGTATTGGTTTTTCATCAGATGTTGCATTACCCAATGATGATCCCAAGATTAGGAGCCATGCGTGTTCATGGTTGTAGAATCTAACATTCGGATCAAGGGCGTGAACGTCATGTCAAGAGCTTGCTTGCTATTTATTGCACTACTAATTACATTGAGTTTTTAAATTTATATCCTGTATGCAATAACTATATGCGAGAGGATCGTTGAACTATTATCTTCCACAGAGTGGTTCACGTAATGGCTAGCTTATACATCTTGAATGAATTTCCAGGTTAGAAATGCATAAAATTCACTTGACAATCTGAGGATCCGCCATCTTGTTGGCTTTTTTCATTGTTAGATAAATAAGAAATCCTATACAGAACTATGTATTCTGTACATTGACTTTTAAGAGGCTGTGATCTATTGTTATGCTATATGGATAAAAGAGTAGCTCATTTCTTTGATGGAACACATCTCCTTGTTACTTGTTTTGTGCTACCTCCAGCAAATTTGATTTGAACTTCATAATATAGCTTATTAGCATTTTGATAATAAGAAAGAATTTTCCTCAATTACACAACTCAATACAGACTACAGAGTTGGAAGAAATTTAGCAAAGACATTTTCAGATTATTATAAACTGTCAAGTCTAATTCCTAAGCCCTCTGCTGGGTTCAACAGGTTTGTTTATATCATATACTTGTTGAATGCTTTAATATACCTTGAATACATTAAAAGGTATCTGTATGTAGTTGATATCTTTAAAAAAAATGTAACAAATGGAGCTGTCAACACCAAAGACTCTTCGATACTTTTTTCATTCCTTCCTTGGCACACGTTTCTATAAAGGGGGAAATTCACACTAGTCTAGTTCCACAGAGAATATGTAAACAACAAATTTAATAGTCATAATTAGCTGATATAATTATTAGTGTAATAGTTAGAAACAGGTTGTACAGCTGGCTCAAGCTAATGTGCGAGAAGAGATTTTGTGGGAATCAATTCACATTAATATAGTGAAAACAATATTTTTTTTCAACTGAATCCTCTGAATATTCTTTCTTGCAAAAGACACCGGCTATGCTGTGAATTTTTTCGATTCTTCAATTCGAATAACAAATAGAAATAATACCATTTTTTTAAAAACAGAGATAAGGAGCGACCAAGTTCGAATCGCAGAAAAAGTAATCGAGGTGCGACAAGCAATAGTGGTGGAAGTTCAGCCAATAGTAATAACTTGTCTCCGATTCCAAAGACTCAACAAAGATTTTCAAGAGATAAATGAACTTTTGTTATCATACTATAGTTATTGTCATCATATATATTCATCAAACAGATGCATAGTCATAAATCATATTTTAAGAATTATAAATTAAAATTTTGGTTGGACAAAGTAATGGGAAACCTGATTCGTTAGTCAATTCATTGACATTAAAATGCACAAATAATAATTGAAATGATTCATCAAACCTACTCCAATCTTGATGTGTTATGATTTTTCATTTGAAACTGTCTGTGATAAATGGTCAGATTTCCTTCATAAAATAAATAGAGTTGTCATACCATGTTCCCAGTGTTGACCTGATAAAATTTCCACTGTCTTGTATATTAGTTTTCATCGTACTGTTCTCTGAAATTTGACCTGATAGAATTGTCACTGTGTATTTTTCATGATAGTATTTAGACATTGTTTCACAAACATTGTAATTTATCTTGTTATTAAAGATATGTGAAATGCTGTTTTGAAAAGTTTTCAAGTTCACTGTAACCGTGGTTAAAATGTTGTTAATTCATTTTTCCAGCTTTGTACTCAATAGATTGTGCCGTATAGACATGTGTGTTGGTCTATCTGTACTCAATACATTTCAGGTTGCACACCAGGTGAACGTATCTGATGTTGAGCAGTTTTGCATGGTGGAAGTTTCCTATGTTTGTGCAAATTGTTGCAAATATTTAGTTCCCGATTATTAGTGATATAGGGTAGGATTTACATATTTATCATTGGGAGAGGAAAAGTCAAAAGAAAAAAGTTCTGACTGCAGACTTGTTACCCTACCCTGCAGTAAATGATAAGCACACCACGACCTGGATCACGTTAATGAAGTCTTTGAATAGAGTTGGCATGGCGGGCACATACGCGATTTCAGTAGGTTTCTGAATTTTCACCATTATGAATTTTTTTTTTTGACCAAACTCCCACCATTGTTTTGATGGCCAGAGCGCCCAAGCTTTTTTAATTAAGAGACTAAAAGGATAAACTGCTACACATCATACTGGGCGTTAGGAATACGCTCGCCATCGCACCTTTTTACCTTGTGTTGGTTCGAGAATCCCGCGGGGGATGGTTATGTGCGAGAGGATTGCTGGACTTCTCATCGCCGTAGGGTGAATCGCGGAGCTCTAAGAAACCTGACCAAATAACGGCCTGACACCTAACGACAGAAGGTCAAAAAAGTCCATTTCAGAAAAATATGACACAAAGTCAGTTTGGTTTTACCGTGGCGAAATGAAGCTCTTGGGAGCGCCATGCTTTTAGCAAACTTTCCTATGCAAAAATTCTGAAGTGTGAATTAGTATGTGTACCAGGTTCAGGTTGTGCGCCATCTTAGTACACATACTTCAGGAGCGCCAAAATTCCTTTGGATAATGTAGAATTTTGCAGGCTTCGCAACCGCCACATCCCAAAAACAATGTGCGACACGGGCATAGTATCTATGATTATCAGTTTGTGTTACGTTCTGCATCTGGATGCATCGCAACTGTTATAATCTCGAATTTTATGTTTCACGCAAATATCCGACAGTTATTGAATGTAAAATTTCCAGTACTCCCGTGGTATGTGCAACAAGATGGTGGACATCAGAACGCAGTATTCGTATCAGGTTAGGGTTAGGCCATAATTTCAGGTACAAATACTACGGGAGTCACTTGGCTAGTCCCCGAAGTCGTAACGTAATAGTACTAAAATAAGGAAAATTGGAATAGGATTATGGCCTAACCCTAGGCTTACCATACGTCCCGCTTTAGGCGGGACAGTCCCGCTTTAGTTTTCAGCGTTTTGTCCCGCCGTCCCGATAAGTCAGCCAAAAGTCCCGCTTTTCCAGCATAATACATAAACATGTTCTCGTCACTGTTGTTTCTGTGTAGCGCAGCGCTAGCCTACTTACTGAAGGTGAATGCGTTCGTTTCCCGCTGATTCCTATTGATGGCGAGCGTATCGCATGTAAAACCAATACTAATTAGTCTAAATTCGAATTATTTGTACCGGTATCGTTAACGTCAATTCCTTCCTATTTTTCGAACTGAACCCGATATTTGGACAGAGAATATGCGCATGAAATTTCGATAACAATATTGTCAATAAAGACAGCCGAGACAGCTTTAAATGTAGGAATGTAGGCCTATGTAGTAAAATCGGAAAATGTGGAGTTACAAAATCACAGCTAAGGGGGTTGTCTTTCGAGGCGTCCCGATTTGAAGTCACAAAAATATGGTAACCCTACCTAACCCTAACCTGGTACACATATTATGTTCATGTGTCCGCCATCGTGTTGCTCATACTACGGGAGAGCCAAGTTTTCAACTTCAACCTACTGGAAAATGCGTTCATATAGCATTAATTAAAACAGTATGTGAATCCGCACCACGATCCGTGCAGTTCTTTGCTTTGCGTCATACTACACATTTCTAACCACCCCCTCCCATTTTGGAACAAGTTATCATCAACACGTCCATCGCGCAACAACGATATGTCTGGGCGCATGCTTGACAAAACCTATTTTTACAGATTTCGTCACTGAGAATTATAAGAAACAGACGGGCCGACTCAGATCAATTAATGCTTCAGTTCGGTAGCATGTAAAATTTTGTCAATTTTGGTATATAAGAAGTAGTTATTCGTCACCGTAGCTGGACTACAAGATGACAATATTTCAGTTTCAATTTATATCAATTCTGAGCGAACCAAGAGATTCGGGCGATTCTGCGTAAGTGGTAATACCTCCACTTTATTTTTTAGTTGATGTCCCGAATTAGAAGCGCATGATTCTCCCTAGAATCTCCATGGGGCAGATACCGTCAAAAAATTTGGGAGGATTGTTAGGGTGGAATTCGATAGAAAAATCTTTGGTTGTTATTGAGGAGACCCAGAAGTACAAAAAACAGTCTTTTGCAATCATTATTCGGCTACAAGATAGTCTCGTGATCTTATATTGTAAATATATACATCACTCCTACCTTATGGTCTCAACTTGTTATTGTTGTGAAAAAAGAATCTATTTTCTAAGCAACTACTGAGGGCCAGATATAATTCAAAATTTGTGCTGTTTTAATCCAGTTCCTGGGGCCACTCTTATATGAGAGAAGCGTGTATAAATTTAATATATATATATGACATCCGTTATAATTATTTTACCAATTTGCTACCATTGTGGTATATAGTAACAGTTCCTATTTTTAGGTGTATTTATTTATTTTGTTTTATGAAGGGACCTCGTGGGTCTGGAGTAAAAAACGAATTGAATACCATTCTATCGGCAAACTGCTTATGTTTCTGGCGTCGCTAGGAGTTGCTCCTCGAGGTTAGGCTTAAAATTCAGTAATCGTCAATTCTGTATGACGTTCGATCAGTCGATCGCATAGTATTACGAAAATTTTAGTCGATCTTGGTCGAAGACAGGTTGGCCACCCCTGGTCTATATGAACAAAAACAAGTTTACATGTAGCACCCATTATATGTGCTTGAAAATGCTGTAGTATTTCTTTTCAGTCCGCCGTGATTTGTAATAATGAAAGTGATTGCTTCGCGAGCTTGGAAAGAAAGAAAGTCTTCGCTAATAATGCATATAACACTTCTCTTCTTTCTCGAAGAAGAAATACCTTTAAATTATCGTATATATTTCTAAGCCTCATTCTTTCGAATCAGACACAGTTCATTACTAAACCATGCGTTTCAAATAATTTTATTATCGGTACTTGATTCACAACCTTGTGCAATCGCTTGTCAAATCGGAATAAATATGCGTTAGGCACACTGACATAAGCGTCATTGTCTGCGCTAACTAAATGAGATATTGCTAAACAATCAGAAGTCTAACGCACAGAATAATATAGTTTTCACCATGAAACGGTAATTGGCTGACGGTAAAACGTTGTCTGTTCCAGGTACAAGGGGTGGAACCCAAACGGGGTTTACGATCCCTGTAATCCCCCTAGATATTACCAGTTCGTCGGATTGGAAAGGCCTGGAACCACTGCAAAATAACACCCAAACTAGTAACACTGACAAAAGCAGAAAACTTCAACCAAATATATATATTTCCACTATATAACATACTAGAGTTTACTTGTGCACATTAAGCTAAAATTATGATACTATTGATATATATTATTGATACAGAATTTTTCAGTCGAAAACAGAAATATTGTACAAATCTTATATATTCGGCCCCCTAACTTTCGCACAAAGATACAGTGAATCTGGAAAAAATAACGTTAATTTGTCTAATCATGCATGTACTCAAGTCTTCCAAAAGTGAGATGAATAATAGAAAAGTTCAAATTTACAAATGAGTTAAGATATTGTCAACTTTTGTCCCTGCCATATTTCGGATGTGGCAAGTTTGCTCATTTTTGTTGCATATCATCATAATTTTATAACGGGCAAAGATTGTTCTATATAGAAAGGATTGGTTATTGAGATATGAGGTAAGACATTTCATTTTGCAAAATGAGTTAGTTAGTCGGCCACAAGTAACAAAATACATCATAATGACTGCTATTCTCACTATATGTTAAGGTTGTGTCAGATTTTTATTCTGAATACACCAGGCATACAAAGATAATATAAACATCCACACATGCTAGGATTGCATAATGAAAAATCACCCGAGTACTTTTGCAAAATATACATCAAAAATATGAAATCAAGGAAAGGAACCAATAAATACGAATGGAGCTTTTGAAATATATAAAAAAAACTATTTTTGAAAAAATTCAATTGCATTGGTATGGTATACTAAGTGGCAATTTATAGACATAGCAAAAGGCATATTTGTACTGATTTGTTATAGAATATGTATTACTATCACATTTATGATATGGCAAGTAAGATATAGTTAGTAACTCATGAAGGTTAATCGATGGAAAGAAAACCATAAAATCTAGGAAAATGCACAAGTGCCATTACAATGATTGAATATATATATCTTAGCAAAATTAGTACAGAAATTTCCGCTATATTCGGACAAATACTTGTGCTGGCAGTAAATGAAAAGATTATAAAGTAACATCTTTTTCATGAGCCTTATAAAGTAACAACATCATTCTGAAGTTGATTCATTAGTTTCATTACTACGAGCAGCCTTTGCACGGAGTAAATGTAATTTTTTTCGCAACATTTCACTTGGAGGAAGTGATGCAGATCTCTGAAATCAAGAGAAGTATTTTAAGAAGCGATATATCATTATTCCACAAAGACTTCCTACGATTTTGCAAAAACTAATTTCTTTGCATTGCTGTGGAAGTTTCTTAACAGTTAATCTCAATTTTTCCGAATCTATTATAACACATACAGTCATTGATGACGCGACACGATGTCCCAAATGATCAAAATTGCAGGTAAACTGTTATTGGAAAACGATGAGTCCAAATTTATTAAACAGTGCGACGCCACTGGAATTACCTATATGTTGCATTTCAAAGAGGTTGAAATTCTTTACAATCAATAAAATATAATAATAGTAACCTGTCGCTTGAGAGCTTGTAGTGATCTGTATTTCATTCTTGCTATAGCGATATTTATATGTTCTGGAACACTAGGTATCAAAGTAGATAAGGCATACCTTACAGCGAGAAGTGAATGCTGGAAGATGAAAAAAAAAATATAGTTTATTATTTGAAAGTTAATTTATCTGGTAGTTACCTAAGGAACAAAATCCTTCTATGAAATTTGATATCGGGTAATCAGCAAGTAAGAAAGTAGTTTTCTATGTTATGAGAAGGTTATAAATGAATACTCTGATATTCTAAAAGTCTTTACACAAATTATTTAATATGTGTCATTTCTTAAGGTCTTTGCTAATTTTATTATGATTCTAATTACTAATAATGTAGTAAAATGACAGAAAAAATTACCTCGGCCAAGAAAAAAGCTATCAACAAAGTGACAGCATCAGCAGAAGAATCTTGAGTGTAAAACCATTTCTGAAATCCTTCTGATTGAAATATTAATGCAATGTTTGAAATCACTCCAAGATATGATATAATTTCAAATGCAACCTTGAAGTTAAAAAAAGATAACAATAATTATAAACCGACACAAAAAGCCAGCACAACATGGTCTGGGAGAAGATGCGGAGATACACCACAGTCCACAACTGAATTGATTATTGAATATTTTCAAACAAAAAATAATTCAAGTATGAGATGTTTCTTGAACAGTATTAAAAATTAAATATTATTGCCAGGCTGGGGTAAGAAAATCAAATCGACTTCATAAGTTGAACTAACCACTTTGTGCATCAGGTCCATTTAATCACAAGAAAATTTGATTTGCTAAAGAAATTGCACAAGGCCAACTGACGAAATATAATTTGTAATGAAATTATTCATTCACACTTAATTGTGAAAATGATACAATGACTGAGTTGTGAATACAACCATCGTGCTAAAAGCATCATAGAAATTGATTCATTAAGGTTGTGGTATACAATTCTGATCTCGTTTCTCACACAATCACAGATTGAACTTATGTTTATATGAATTAGGCACAGAATACAAGTAAAGTAAGTCCTTGCCAAGTGTACCTGCCATGCACCAATATTTCTTGTTGGTAAACTATCAGGCCGGCGGAATACTTTGCACATTTTAAAAGCATCTGATCGAATTTCAATCACATTATTTATCAGAGCAAGTATAGAAGCAAAAGGAAACACACAAGAAAACATGACGACATATCCAAACTGCAACCACATTTCCAAATAGTCATCAAAAGTTCCCTGCAATAAAGCAAAAGAAAAAAAGTTTAAAAGACATTTGTATTCACATCAACCTACATTTAGGCAATTTTCAGAATTCCCAAAAATATATCAAAAATTGGAAGCAAAAATCAAATGAAAACCCAACCGAATAGATATCTCGTTTCAGATCTATTGCAGCCTGAGTTTCAGGTTCATCATTCTCCTTGTTCTCTTTTGTGTCACCAACTCTATGTCGATAAGTCCAGTATGGTACAAGCGATTCCATTGTTTGTGAAATAATGATTTGAATGAGAAAAAGATTTCTCAAGGTCTGTAGTAAAAATTTAATATCTTCAAGATACGTTAAAGACGTCTAAAATTGGGTTCATACAAAATATTCTAAAATTTTTGAAAAGTATAACGAGTGAGAATACTATGCAGTGAAATCGTTTATATGTTGGCATAATATTTATATTACAGTCACTAAACTTCTAATGCAATTTCACACACTTTCCTATCAAAGGCTATAAAGGGACAACTTATACATCCTGAAATTTTAGCAGCACAACTTTATTTTTGCATGGTTAGATGCAATCTTAGAATAGAAAAATAATTATTTCAAGATTCAAATATTACATCAAAAATACTATGATAGCTTAATTCATAATTTTTGATGAACTTTTTTTATCCAAGACACATAAAAATAAAATCTTTCCATAAGCAGAGTTCTTTTACAGAAAGAAGTACCGGTATTTCGTTTCACATTTCTATAGAGATTGAACACAACGGTAGTTATTGGATTACTTAGAGCCCAGAAGGCATTTGAAACATAAGACAAAGTGATCATAACTATGTCGATAGTGTGGAATAGTTGACTAATCTAAAGAACCAAGTTGCAGGAGAGTGAAAATTCACATCTATATACTAACATTCCTTTGTATTATGGCAAAAATTCAATACATTGAAGAAACAAATATATTTTGTACTTACCCTGCATAACATTTTCATATCATTGTAAACAAAAGCAATGTAGAACAAACATAGAAAATTGTTGACAAAATCAAACTGTAAAAAAACATCAATATTTTTCTCATTATTCAATTAATAGGCACATATCTGCAATTGACTGCAAATTCTAATACAAATGGTAAAATATCCGAAGATTTAGTTGAATCGACCCACAACTGGCACTGTAAGATAGATATATACAAATCCAACATGCTACCTTTAATATGATTGCAAGAAGCAAAATCTTTCATTTGGTAATAAAGCAAATGTGTGTAACATTTGTCCACTCATGAAATACAATAATAAAAAATTGTTTTTTTAGGAAATACTTGACTTTCATTGAAGTTAACATGTTTTAAAAATCTGAATCATATGTAATCTGTATTAGCTATCTCTTGACAACTAATACAAACATCATTTATGTAAGGCAGGCAGCCTGCCGGAGGCCTGTACAACTCTGAACAAAAGAGCCGCAACATACAAAACAATTGTTCACAGGCCACATGTTATCATTATTACCAAGTAACTTATATAATGTCATATTTTTCGTATAAACAGTCTAACAATTCTACGTAACCAGCCTTTACTGAGATAAGTTGAATCTTTTGGTTTTGTTGAAAAATGCTGGAATCAAACGTTGCTATAGCAAACGCCATACAATGCAAATGCTATTGCCATGCATTTGTCTCTTACAGTGTACAAGATATTATGATGTAATAAACTATCATAGTGTCAAAATCATATGGAGGGTGTGAAAGTACTTCGCTACGATCTGTTATATTTTTGTACGCATAAGTCATTTTTTAAAATCACCTGAGGGGTCACATAAAAAGCTTTCTTGGCCACATGTCGTACGTTGTGCAGGCCTGCTTTAAGCAATAGTAAGTTTACTAAGATAGAAGCTGTGAAAAAATGCGTCAACGACTATTTTGTCAAGTGTTGTTTTTATATATCTACAGCAGGCTAAAAGTCATCATGACAAATCATAGTTCCTCAATGCACAATAACAAGTTTTCATAAATACTTGATGTAATTTGAACTCAAACTTGCATTTAAAATATTGGAATTGGATTGGATTTTTATCGCTAATTTTCAACTAAGACTGATTGAAGGAAATATGCACGTTTAAAATAATTCAGAAATCAACTTTTCAAATTCACAAAATAATGAATTTGATAATTCAATTCAATATCAACAAAGTTTACTCACCAAAACAATTTTTGTTATGAGAAAATTTTGATAAGATGACTCAAGTCGATGATTTTCTAATAAAAACAAAAACTTGATCAAATACCCCTGACTATCAGCTTAGATTAGAAATACAGCTATTTTGAAATGTTCTGGCATAATTACATAACCCCTTCGGACAATGCACAAAATGTCTGCATTTACCTCAATAAAACAAAACTGAAGATTTTAGAAAGAAGTCAGATATTAGAAAAAGCTCAGTTAGAGATGACACATAAATGAGATAATATTGAACAACTTGATTACTATGTTTAATTGTTTAGTATATTATTAGTTTATATTACTATTTCACAAATTCAAGATTTAAATATTCTGAAGTAAATGAATGTTTCAAGATGGTCAAATATTAAAGACATGGATTTTCCCAATGAAACTTTAATGATAAAAATAGGTTCAAATTTTGATGTATTATGATTTCATGGCTTCATGCAATATTGATCAATTCAAACAAATTGTAAAACACAAATAAATACAAATGGTTCAAGTTAAATATATTTTGATATAATGATATAATTTATACCTCGATCAGTCAAATATTCGGCCAGTTTGCGATAAAATAAGTTTGCTGCAAGAACAAGTACTGAATAAACAATGCTCGGTATATTTCTGAGGAGTTTTGACATTATTGTTCCAACTTTGTCATACTTGGCAGCGAAATATGCATCCCAACTGAAAATATAAATAAATGAGAGCCTTATTTTGCTTGGAGTATTATCATTTGTGAAATAGGTAGTTTCCACTGACAAAAAAATGGAAACACAAACCTATTTTATATAGGATGGAACTAAAGGCAAATGGTCTAAAATGACGACATATCAAGCCAATTTTAGATTGAAACATTTTTACCAAAGATCGTATGAATAATGAATATCTTATAGAATGACTTCTTTTATAAATGTCATATGCCGATAAAACTGCTTATAACTTCAATCTACACCATCTATTTATATCCAAACAAAAAATGAATGAATTCAATGAAAATTACAGAGAAAAATACCTGAAATAATAAAACATTAGAGACACTGCAGACATTATGCACAGTGTTATGATTGGTCCAGTGATAAAACAAATTCTTAATTTTCTTTTCCAGTCTGGATAAGATGGTTCTTGTTTTCCAGTGATTGGATTAATACCAAGTGGACCTCGATAACTTCCTCGTGGTTCCTCCCATTCCTTAAAAATATCAATATTAGATGAAAATGCTTGAATCAAAGATCTTGGATGCGATTTACCTATCGTAAAGATGAAGGGAATTGTTGAAATAATTCTTTATATCCAACAATGAAAAGGGTTATTACTAACTTTTGCTCTGAGCATGGGCATAACCATACTTTTTGACAGAGTTTCAAGGTGGAGAGGTTTTAAATTTTGAAAAGTACGTTAATTTTCAATTAGTTTAAAACTTATTTTAAAATTTATAAGTAAATTATAAAGAAAGTAATAATATCCATGCTGAATGATAACGTTTTTTTATCCTAGTGGATCTTAAATTGTAATATACTTTGTGCAATTACCGTAACTAATATGATCAATACAGTCTCAAAACTAATTTATTCATTTGACAAAATTAAGTTATTGATTTATTTGAATATTTAAACAAGTACAATGTTTTTATGATCAATGGAATCAGACACATAAAGAATGGAATCAAGCCAACATAAAGAACAACATACAAACAGCATTAGATCAATTATTTAGCTCAGAGAATCAGGATGTTAAAAAAAATGATTCTTATGAAATAAGTAACAAATCATACTATATTATGATAACTAATTTGTGATGAATTACTCTTATGTGTGATTACACATTCTTTGTTGCGAGCACTTTGGTTTCATTATGATCCATAGACAGGCAGTGTCACATTCTAAATTCCATAAATGTTCTATGCCATACTGCCCCTATACTAACAAGCAATTCTTGAATCGGACTAGTCATCACAGGCATTTGACAGCTGCTTTCATTGAATTTTTGCTTATTCGTTTTCACAAACATGATTCTTACATTCAGCGTGGCTTCTCATAGAATAATAATTTAACTTTTAATTTAATAAAGCAAAAAGGCAAATATTAACGAGCTGAATCATCAGTAATACACATAGGCAACACTCCAATTTTGTTGTCAAATTAGAAACTGATTGCTCAATTCGAAATTAAAAACAAATAGGATTACCAATTTAATATAGTGATCAACCCAATATACATATTAAAGTGAATTGTGCAAACTAAATTATATATCAGTGCTTGCATGTGCATCAAAATTAATAAAATCACAAAATACCTAAATACTTTCAGAAGTTTCAGCTCCAACAGATTCAAATTCCTAATCCAAAATATTCAAATGTGGTTAGTATAATTAAGATGTGTCATCAGATAAGTTAATATTAATTAAATACTATAGGTTAGTCAGGTATTGTGAATAAAAATTGTTTATAATACAAAATCCATGTTTCACAATTATTCACTCCCAGTGTAAATAAAAGTAATGAGATTTAAATCGAAATAGAATACTAAATATAATTCGATGACTTCTCATTAGTTAAATTGCTAAGGTAGGCTACATTAAATTGCTTAAAGTATGTTTGTTCAATTCATCTAAGATTAATATCAAAATATTAGGTATGGATCCCCCAGATGCTTACGAATATACACAAAATATTTACCCTTTTCTGGAAAGTTCCAAATTTATAAGCAAGTTCCGCACTTTTTCTTTTCCACAGTTCAAGAAATACAGATGCCCAGATTAGATTTAACATCGCATATCCGGAATAACTTTCAACTTGGCCCCAGTAGCTCGAAGTTAAATAAAATGGTAGGGCAAATACAACAAGAGGAATCAAGGCTTTTGTGTAATAGCCGAGAAAAGAAAAATACATTGTGATACTGTCGCCAAAGTAACTGTGAATTTCATCTGAAAATTACAGGAATTTCATTAGTGTTGACTGTTGATATAGTCCCTAGTTAAATAAACAATGAATGCCGAAATATTAATATGTATTCACAATACCAAATTTTTGGAATGCATGCAAGCTGCAGTGAATTTACACAGCAAGCTGGGTTAAAGATAGCTCCATCATTTAGTTAAAAAAAAATTGAAATTATACACGTTGAAAACAATTTTTTTTTAATTATAGATAATTTAGAAAAGTTATTTGAGGTAAAACTGAGCCACTCCGCCACGTTCTATAAAAAAAAATTTAATTAAAGTTTGAGGTTATCAGGTCCACATATGTATTTATTAATAATGATAGAATAAGAAAGCATAAATTACCTGTTGGCTGCTCCAGGGTCAGTGATTTATTCTTATACCATCCCATTCCCAACTTATCGAGCTTGGTTGGATTATGAAGACATGCGATGTTTGTAAGTAGATTCGAACTTTTCAACTTTCGCACTTTATGAATAATACAAGTATTTACAACCTTGAAAATGAAGACTGGCACTAATTTTAAATTCATACAAAAATAACCTATGAAATCAACTTGAATTTTTGATATTGAAATGAGAATAATTCCAAGAGTTCATACAATTGAAAATTACCATTACAAATTTGCACAGAGAAATGTGATTTCAAATATTGATATTATGAATATTGTTTTGACAGAGTCTATACATTTATCACCAATGCGAGTAAAATCAATTTTTTAATCAGAATGTAATTCCAATCATCACGTAGGTCATTTTAACAATGCATATTCAAATTAACAATAACATACAAATGGATTTCCCTGGATAAAGTCGAATATTCTCATGTCCTGGTATATGCCCATCATCATCAGTCGCACGAAGTAGATCAAGTTCAGATTTAATAATGTATAATGCTTCACTTTCAGTAATGAAATCATCATCTGCAGAAAATAAAAAGAGATTCTAACTAAAAGCTTAACATTATTAAGGGGTTTATGTTATGCTGTATTCAAATCAGACAAAACATTGAACACGCAATTCTAAGTTGATGTGCTTAGGAAAATAAAACCTATTCTGCACAAATTTAATGCATTACTAACTACTGCATATACTATCAAAGCATGAAAGTATTGCTATTTGCTACCGCAAAAATAATAAAATTTCAACAAATACAAGAGGCAAAACAAATGCTTTAATGTTCACTTAGGTAAATATCCTTGATAAAAAAAGTTGCATCCTTTGTACAATATAAAATCAGAATTATCTGTTCTAATGCCAACAATATTCTCAAGCTTCAACAGGATTCCAATATTTAGGATATGGATTTAAGTCAGTAATAATGGATTGAATGACCAATAACTGATTATATTATTAAACATTGCTAACTAACCAATATTTTAATCCAAACTTGATATATTTGGCACAATTAATCCTCTTAACTGGCAATTGACATATTTGAAAGCATGATTTGACTGAGTCTGCCTGCACAACGTATGGCCTACGGGTCGTACGTGACCAGAGACAGCTTCCTATGCGCCGCGAGGTGATTTAAAAATATTTTCATACAAATACAAAAATGTATACGATCGGTGCTAAAAAAACACTTACGTAAATTCTACAAAAATTCTCTTTAATGTCCAAATTACTCTAGTAATCCAAATATCATCCTAGTTGCCCACTTTCGCATGATTTATCAAAGAAGCTTACTTACAATCCTAACCTCCAAACGATCCAACCGAAATAGATGAGATTATGTTTGGATACTTTGACAGCTAAGTAAATATGCGGAAAGCTGGGAAACTGACCATGAGCGTTTGCTGGAACTTTTAGTGAGTCCTCAAGCTTAGCTGGCAGGGAACGACGAATGAACATGAATAGGTAGTGACACCACCTATTGACGTTATGACTGTATGATTACTTGTTTGTGTTTTGAATAAAAATTCAAATTTTTCGGACTTATACGAGTAATTTCTAAAGGGAGTATTGACCCCAAGCGTCGTAGCCTCAGCTTAAAATTATTTGTCATTCGTTAAAAGATTCCTTTTGATAAAAATATATGATTTTGTCCATCTCTACTCAAGGCTTGGTCATATAGAATTGAGGTCAAATGACTAGATGAGACAGGATCGTTTTACAATATAAAGTAGTAAACAAAGCATACCTAAATAGCCAATAAAGTTATGTTGATCTGCCATGTTAAATTCTCGCATACTTCCATCATTATATTTCTTCTTTATGCCAATATTTCTGCTCCAACTCTTTTACGAAAATCAGATGCACTGAAATTATAAACAGGTTTTAACATAAAACCGAAGCTGCAGTTTTGGCTATATCAGTGCACCAACCATCAACTAATACTGCAGTAGTGAAACTCCAGTAACTAGGGCACCTGGCTCAGCTAGGATAGGATAGGATTTACATATTTATCCCGGGGGAGAGGAAAGTCGATAAGCCGGCTTAATCATATGGCGAACCACAGCCTCTGGCCCGGAATGGATTATGGCATTTCAAGATGATATCTTTCCTACCGTACTGTACTAAAAGGATGCAAGGTAATAAGGACTGTACTGAAATAAATGACAATAATCAGTTTAAAAGTATGGAATTCAAGGAATTACACTTTGCATACCGTACCTCACTAAAGCCAACGTTTTTTCATCTTCCAATTTTCGACTAGAAATATTCAGCTGGCATCCATGCTCCATTTTGTCAGCTTGGATCTTTGCAATCAACCATGAAATGGCATCTTCCGAAATGTTTTTATGTAGCTCCAACGCCACATAAGAATTAATGTCCACCATGATGCTAGACTATAAATAAAGCACAATAAATTAATACGTACCGTAGGGAATTTACATATTTATTCAGAAAAACAGCATCTTGCAGTCTTGCTGCAGAAGCAGTTGGTCGGTTACAATTTTGGGGTCAGTCTGTCGAAGTACGCGCCCACATACCCAAAATTACGTCATAGAGCTTACCAAAGTATAGCTACGAACGTTAGAATTGGCATCTGCGCCGCCGACTATGGTGTACTCAATGTGGCTATAGTCACTTTGAGTGTACTCACGAACGCCAGCGATCTCTCTCTTATCGGTATCGTTACAAGAAAACGAGAGAAATAGCTAGCTCGATTTTGGTCAACGACTAACGATTTTGGTCGTTGATTTTAGACACAAAAATTAAACTCGAGTTATCAAACGAAAGTTGCGCCGAGCGTTGGTCATAGACATGGTGAGCATCAAAATTTGTTCTAGTTACATACTAGAACATAATATAAGAATATATTGAAGTGCCGAATTGCTGAAATAAGTCTGATTAGCGTGAAAAAGTTATCGAATAATCAATTCAGTCCCTATTTATTCTAAGCTGTTACTATTTTGATATGTATATTCTTTCATTTCAGAAAATCCAAAGTTGATGTCAAACAACCTCAAAGATTCCGAAAAAAAAACTGATATAGTTTAAACTATTTGAAGGACCTGATGTACATGCAACTACGAATAACCCCGGATTTAGGTAATTGTACAAGTTAATCACAGACATCTCAAAAGGTTTGATTCTATAATATTCTGATCAATTATATTCGTTTATTCAGAGGCTTAAATATATTCAAGAATATAATACAATGCATCGAATAGTGCCTCATTTTATATAGCTATATATTCACAGAGCTGTAGAGCTTATTGAAAGCTTTTATCGTCGATATAAGAAAAAGGGTTATAAGGAATTAGCACGCTACACGCAGAGTTTTTACCGGCTATCGTCTGTCATTACATATTACTGGAATGCAGTTGTGGAATTTTATTGTCTTTTAGTTGTGGGTAAAGAACACAAGGATTTTCATTAAAACCGCTTTAATGACCTTTGAAGTTTACAGGATATGACCAGTAATCCTTAAAGATTTTACAGGTGAATATCACTTGCAATTTGTAGTCAGTCATATGCAGGGTCCTTTCACACAGTCACTCCAAGGAAGTCTCTTGACTCTAGAGTCTAGACAGCCATTGATATTGGGAGAGTCACGCGTACTTTGCGGATATCGCGGGAAACCTCCTGATGTTATGAATTTTACCATATATATAATTTTTCGAGATTTTCGGCTTTTACCGCTCACATAAAATGGACTTCGTTTGGGAGTATCGAATTTTTAAAGTTAATCCTGCCGAAATGTACGCTCTTTGGTATTATTATGCTATGTTTCTATGGGGCGTTGCATTTGACAAACACAGCAGTAGATTTAAACTTATACCATTATATTCAAATAATATCAGTGCATTATTAGAAACGACTGCAAACATACCAAGCTGGGATTGAAAAAAACCTTATTCTTCTGCTGAACTATATTAGACTGCAGTAACACTTTTCCAAGTTGAATAACCAAAATAAAACACTGTTTCTTTTGACTTAAATTATCAAGTATTTATGATGTGTGGGGTTTATCCGCTTTTCTGATTCTGAAATTAGTTCTTTTTTCAACATTTCTTGTTTACATCCTAAGTACTACTGCGGTATTTTAAAATCAGCTTATATATAGATCTGTACTGTAAAATATCATACTCCGATGAATAAGATTTACAGTGATGGTATACGAATGCGTTTAAGAACTAAAGTTTGGATCAAATTTGATGAACCAACCCGTTCGTATTTTCCCCATGGAACTACAGAAGACGTAATTTTCAGCTACCATTTCAGACTGGAGAGTTTTATTTAGGTCCTCGCAAACCCCTGCTCCACAGCCCAAAACAACAATACCTCACGTAGTTTTTTCAATAGATTTTCATTTACTTTATGGTATTCTTATCAAGCAAGTACAAGTTTGTATGTAATTAATTCGTGTCAATATATATGTTGCCATAAAGTCTCTTTTACAAATATTACAAGGCTAAATTATGAGATATCGCAGGGTTGTTTTATGTTAAAAAGAAAATTTCTATATTTCTTATGTTTAACGATTGAATTATATGAGCCGATTCTATGGTTAATTGTAACAAAATCATATGTTCAGACCCAGCGAAACTACCAACGTAAGTATGGAAGAGACCCACCATGACGTCTTTGAATTCGTTTCGGGCACATGAAATTTATGTAGACAGGGACAGTGTTTGATACAAGTAATGGGCGACCAAGAACATTTGCAAAAAACATCGAGTTCATCCGTACCGCTGCCAAACTACCACGTTTAACAGTGCACAAAGTCCTACACAACAATTTAATATTGCATGCTTAAAAAGTGCAAGTGTTACAGGCACTTCAGCCAAACGACACGCCAAGACGAAAAGAATTTGCAGTGAACACGCTGCAACAAATTTCTTAAGATAAAGCATTCCTCAAGCGAGTCTGTTTCAGTGAAGAAGCTACTTTTCATGTCTCAGGAAAGTAAAACAAACACAGAGTAAGAATTTGGGGATCGGAAGACCACCATGCGAGTAGAGAACTTCAGCCAAATAGTCAAAAGTGAATGTTTAGTGTGGAATCTTGTGCAATCGAATAATTAGGTCAACATTGATGGGGCCATGCTACGACTGCCCATGTAGGAAAAAGTGTATTAAATTGAGTGTAATTTTTTTTGATTAAACGTTTAAAAGTGTATTAAATGTGTCAATGAAACTCGATGAAATACTGATTAACATGAAACAAGCCTCATTTCGATATCTCATCATTTAACTTTGAAATAATTTTTTCAAATTGTAGAGAGACTTTGTGGACACCCTACGTAAAAAAGTAATAGCCTCAAGGCGGTTTCAATAATCTCCAAGCAATAAAAACTTAGATTAGCGGGTGGTTAGACGATCTTCCCTCAACAACAAATGTCATTCCGGGATTAACAAAAACAACAATTGAGCAAAACAAATTGTACACTTAGTATCCAAAAGTAAGCTATACACACACCGCCTCACGCATCATAGTTTACTACTACGTTTACAACTTTCAAATGCAGACGGAAAGTGTAAGTTGGATAAATGAGTAAAAATGCATATCAAAGATTCCGTCAATATTTCAATCATTCATTGAGTTTTTTCTCAACTATCTTTTGAGGTTAACGAGGCATTAATAAATAAAGCTGAAAAATTCGTTTGTTTATTGTATGGAGAGGATAAGAAGAATGTAAATTATACTATTCCACCCAACAATGATTCACTGAAAAAGCATGTTGCGAGGGCGAATTACCAGGCAGGAATGTATCACTGTTGCCTAAAACCAAAGTCGATTATTCCTCGAGTTAGAAAACTGCAAGTGTATGAAAAATAGGTGTCAAAATAATTTATGCACGTGTGCCAAAAACGACCTGAATTGCACAGAATTTTGTTTTTGGATCGACTGTAAAAACCACAGTACACTTGTATATAGGTAAAGTCGATTTTCGAGAATGAGGATTTCGGAAGCAATTCAGAGGAAAGTGAATTAGATATTGAAGTTGATTTATTATATATTATTTATTAGTTTTTTTCTCTCAGACATCTGTTAGTGTCGAAAGTCCTGTTTCTATAAATAATATTGTATTCGTTTCAAATACGTAACCACATAAACTGAAAAAAGACTAATTGTAATGTTTCTGTTCACTATGTTATGTAGGCTACAAACTGTATTCATTTAATTTTCTTGACTTTCCCGTGTAAATTTCTTAGTGAGAAATAACCAATTTATTTGTGTTTTTTTTAGTGCTCACGATGTTAATTTGTGACTCCATTGCATAAAAATGAATGCGTTTGCTAGCTTCTATAGAATAAATGCAACTTATTATGCTGTTTTTTGTTGTAAACTGCTTGTCTGAGGAAGTCTGATTTTGGTCAGACGAGACGTTACAGAAATACATTTGTGTTAGTGTGCAACAGGACTCTTGAACTGCATAGTTCTTATGACGGTTCTCAAGTCGGTAATCGAAATATAGCATTGAAACTCATAGATAATGTCATATTTGAAATACCGCCTTGTTGTTTTGACGCTACCGATGTCAAATTTCCTTTACAAATTATACATTTGACGATGCAATGGGATCTTAAAATGAAGATAATAAAAATAAACCGGACACCTACTCCAAACTTGGCACGCGAGCCCATTTATTCGACACGCGAGCGAATCCGAAACTTAATTCAATTTCGTTTGCTAACAATCCATTATTTAACTCTTTTAGTCTTTGCAGCACCGTTAATATTTGGATGACATATGGTTACAAAGAAATATATCATGACGTAGCAGATGAACAAGCTCTAGAAAATTATTGTAGAAAAGAGAGAAGCATTCATTTGGCTACATTCTTACGTAATATAGTTTGTCTGTGCCACCCTTTTTCTTCGTTTCTGCTTGATTTATGAAGTTGTACAGCTGATGTTGGTTAGAGTTACTTGCTAACTTAATGTTATAAATTTATTTTGAAAGAAATATAGGCGATTATGAAAGGGAATACAAGAGAGAAGTGCAGAACTATTGCGTGATTGGGATTCCCGAAAAATTTTCGTATCTTAAAACTTTGTAACTGTTACAAAGTTACAAAACATTAAACCCAATGTAAAATCTCTATCAGTGGTAATGCAGCAGCAGTAGTTTCACTCATAGAGAATAAGAAAAGTAATCAAATCTATTTGTCGGACTAATATTTTCTCGAATAGTGAATCTGTATGTACATGCTGAAAGGTTTATTATTGCGTATTTTTGCTTTGAAAAATAGCAAAGCATTATTTTTAATTTTGGTCGGCACGTGGAATTATTTTGCCGTTAAATCTAGCCGATTTTGTCACGCGAGCCGAAAAAGGTTGCCCACCTCTGCACTAGGGGATGAATTTTGATCAACTATGACATTGGACAACTCGTGAACGTGTTTTTGTTGTGATCGAATGTTTGTGTGGGCGAAAGTTATTTGATATTTCGATATGCTAGAGCTTTTCAAAGTATTCAGGACACTATCGACAGTTTCAAGTGAAAGGCAAGGCTTGACATTATCATAATTGGAATTTGAGG